AAATGGGGTTGCACGGTGTTTTCGGTTAAATAAATCTTTACACGATGCTAAACAATGAGTGCTGCTTATGTGATTATCAGGCAGAGCATAAGTTGTAACCACGGAGAGTATGTCACAGCTTAGGTTGATTAGTTTATAGTTTACCAAAAACAATTAAGTATATATCAAAACAACAGAGTTCAAGTATTCATTCACTTCCTTTATTTTGTATAGGCATTATATTTCCCATTACCTTATATTGGATGTTGAGAAGCTATGTTTGTCTGAACAGGTAATCCCACACTTCACTGTGGGTGCGCGAAGATCTCAACAAAGACCTATTCACTACTAGTCCGGTTTTTTCTATCAATAGCACGAGGGTAACCTACAAGCATGTGAAGTACACGAACCTCTGTTAGTGTTGGAGTAAATTTGACAGTGATATTTTCAGTTTGGAGGGGATTTGCTAGACTGCTTATTACGATGATTTGCATGCATGATTCTGTCGCTGAACCATCAACTAGACTGAAAAGTTTCTAAGATGTTTACTAAATGATCAACTGATAGAGAAACATACTGAAATCATTGATATTAGACAAAAGATAAGCACAAGAAAGCAACACTATTTAATGATAAATATAAGTAAGATTAACGATCGAGCTTTTGTTAGTGATTTCACCAATCCTATCAATCATATTACGTGCTTGTCAAGTCATAACAATAATTTTTCACAATATCTACTTATAGTGTTGATTATAAATTAGCTAGTGGGAAATGGTCATTGTTCTGAATGATTCTGGAATATCAAAAGTTCGTAGAATTGAAGGATTTAAGCTGCCTTGTTATATTACAAATTTCGATTCAAAAATATTTATCCACTAAGTTTTAATTCTATTCGTAGCCTGAAGAGTTTTCATTTTAAACGTTCACCTGACTAACTGTTTCGACCAATTTTGCGTGTCTTATCGAAGATGAATAAAATTATGAGTCACATTAATATAATAGGATAATGTCTTGGCAGGCATCATGCAGCAGGGATAATTTACAGACACATCAGACCAGATCAACGTGGTTGTCACTTAAACAGCGATTTGAGTTGTTAGTTATGGACATAACTAACACTAACAACTGTGTGATACTTAGTTATTATACCAATGTAATCCAATCATTTCTAATGCTGTGACTTTATTACCTATGTTACTATGTTGAACGTCTGTGGCGAGACTCTAGTTTACGGACGACCTTTAAATAAATCTTAAGTGACCTTTGGAAATATTGACCAATCAGCAAACAGTCAGTATAGAGTAAAAATATGTTATACAAAACCAAGGAAATAAAGTGTACGCAATTTTTTACATGGTTCAAAAACTTGTCAAGGTTAGAAAGAGGTTCAGAGGTTCTAAAATCGTAATGCATGCAGTAGAGGAAATCATCCACACGGTGACAGAATAGTCGGCCTCTGGAGCCATGATAAGGTCTCAAATACTCTTTCAGTCTCGACCACATAGTTTCATTATTGTTTATGTGCACTTCGGTTGTTGAGTACACAAAATGCTACTTGTGGATAACGGCACGATGCACATAACCAAGTCTATGTAGGCATCTGTACGGTTTCCAATCATCTGTATACATTGAAGCACTCGGTTGCAGCCACTGTTACTGGTGCTTTTATTATCCAGTTCGCAATAATTGTCGTAATTTGCCTTAGTTAGGAATTATATATGAGGTTTACATCACGAACTGACATCAACTATAATGCCAGAATTTTAGAGATCCCGGAGAGCAGGAATGCTTACTAGAATATGGTTGCGAATGCATCCACAAGACTGATAAACACCATCAGAACGTGATCACCTTATCACGTAGAGCAGATAAACGTCATGGAAACTGTCATTCGTGCGTCACATCTACAATGAATACAATAGAGCTGAAAATTATGGGAGATATTAAATAGACTTATATTCAAATAACAGATTCGGAAAATTGAGAATCCGAATTTCCCGGCCAACTTCAGAAGAAATCCAAGATGTCTATTGAAAAGGTAGATGTCTACGTTCCATGAGGAATTTCATAATAAAAGGTGGCGTTTTGTATTTGTGCTACGGGTCATACTGTTTGAGACAACTAGTCGTTATACGGTCCATGTCTTGGACAAAGTTTATGAAGACATGGGGTATGGAGGTCAAAATGTTTAAGACTGTCAAATGTATGTTGGTGGCCCAAACAAAGGAAAGATATCTGGAATTATGTCAGATCTTGTAAGGCTTGTCAAACGATTAAAAGCTCAAAAGACAACCCAAATCCAACTTTCGTGAATCTGAAACCAGTTTATCCTAACAAGATAGTGGGTCAGTATAAGAAACTGGTGGGGGAAATAAATATATTTTATTTATAATTGATCACTTTAGGAAATACCGTGAAGCGATCCCTGTGGAAAGTTTGGATGCCCCAACTGTAGCTAGAGTGGTATTTGAAATTTGAGTCGCTCGTTGGTGTGCTCCAGTTTAGTTATATTCGTATAGATGTACTAAAGTTAAGGAGGTATGCGAATTTTTGGAAATACGCAAACAACAAACAACTGACAATAGGGTTGTCTAACAAATCAATCGGACTCTCAAAACGTTACTGAGAGCGTTTGGTAGTCAGAAAGAAGCTAGATCATTGGATTCAGCAATAAATAAACTTTTACTGGGATATTGCGGCAGCATCCAAGTGTTTACTGGTCATATATCTCACTTATTATAAACAGAGAGGTATATGAGGCTTCCACTCAAGTTACTGACATCATCCATGTATTAAAAACCTCTATTATTATCATACATAGTGGTGAAGCCGCAGAAGGATATATCAAGGTTTTGTAATACGGCTCGAGTACAGTTAGATGTGGTTCAGAAACATAAGGATAAATATTATGATAAGAAGGGTCATAGAGCTTCCTGACAACCAGTATGGTTGAAAACTGAAGACCTACCGGGAGGAAAGAGTTGCTAAAATATACAAAGGATAGACATTTCGTTATGAAATGGCCAGAGTCTCAACAGAATCTAGGTACGAAATGAAAAAACACCAGAGACGATTCTCGGTTACCTATGATAGTTCACTAAAATTGCCTAAAACCTGCATATGACTCTAAATGATATATGGTTCACCGACGTTTATATCTAAGTTATTCGTTAAATAGATTGGTTTACGACTTTGTTTTGTTTATTTTTTACAGATACCAGAGTGAGAGAGAAGTTAACTTTATCTTGTTGTGACTTCTTGTCACGTTTTGTGTCCCGATATGGTCGTGAAATTACTAATGTGTTTCTGTTACTATTGTGTTGAACTATTACTATACGTATAACGTATCGTTGTTCTTTTCATCGGAAAAGTGAAAAAAAAGAAATTTCTTATGCTTAGATTATTGAAAGCGATTGAAAGCAACGCTTAAAAGATGGGGAAGCAATATAACATTAGCAACATTGTAAGATAAAATCGAAGTTTGATTTAAAATACTGGCCGACTTGTTGTTTGAATCTTCACTTTTGATTGAACAGTTGTAATTTGCTGGATGCTAGTTGAAGTGATAGTTTGTGCGCATTCCATCGGAGGATTTACTTCACTGGCGATCTCCAACAAACTGATCGGTTTGCTCATCACTGCATACTCGACGTGCGATATACCTCCACTTGTAAGCTAGAGTTAATACTTCTTAAGTATAAATGAGTGTGCTTATCCCACAACCATGAAGTTCCTGGGAAAAGCAACTTTAACATTATCAGACTGGAGAAAAGTTTGTTTCAGTACGAAAGATTGTGTTTTGCCTATATGACCTAAACCAGTACATGTTTTCTCAAGTTTGGTTAAGTTTGATCAGTTCCAGGTGAACCAACCAACGTTAATCTGCTCCCTGTGTATCGTATGTAGTATGACAATAAACTCAGTTCTCATCGTCATGGTTTGTTTGGAGCCAGCTGATATTGAACTGTACTTTTTCGGTTGTCCTGTAGTTGTCTTTTTGGACTAACTTAGTTTTAATGGCATTGGACATGGCTATGAAGGACGTTCCTCATGTACTAATAAACCCGAAGGACTCAGGTTTTGTTCTCTCGATTTCAGAAATCCACAGACGATAGACAGTCTTACTCACTTTTTATTAGGTGTAACGGGTGATGTAGTGATAAAAAATCAACTTCGATAGTTTTATCCACAGCTAGATCGCTTGTTAACGGTTTTACTAATAAGTCCTGTAATTTTGTATTCAAATACATTTGATTGTCCCCGCCTATCCTCTCATTCACTACAATAGTACATTCCAGCAAAACAAGTGTTATCATACATTCATTCAGATTTAAAAAAAGTATAATATGAAAACTAAAAGATCAATAAAAATCTAAAATAATATCTGTACTACTGACAAATTTAAAAGTAGGTTAAGTATGAAAAGCAAAAAAAATAATCCAGATTTAAAAGGAAATAGTGTTTTTCTTGTTTACGAAACGTTGAATATCAATATTTTTCAAATAAATGTTTATTTTACAACATTCTGTTTCAATTTAGATTGAATTATATAAAACATTTTAAAATATACAATGAGATGGTGAAAAAGATAAACTTTTCCATTTCAATGACATGATACTCTATTTGTTGACAGTTTATTTAGTTCACTTTATTACCATCACCATTCTTCTATATCTATATCATGATCATGATATTGATTCATGAAGAAAGATGAATAGTTGAATCATGAATAAAGAACACAATTGAGTTTCACTATACTAAACGAAGGCAACATAGTCGAAATATATGTGACTTTCTATTTGTCATATTGTAGTTCTTATTATTATTATGATTTATGTTTGTGTTGTTTCAACTTCTTTAACTTAGATTGATAGTTTCTTTTACTACAATGTAATTTAGAAGATACTTTAGGTTTTTCGTTTACATTACTATCATTGTTATTATTATCATTATTATTTTCATCAGCATCATCGTAAACGTCAGTATCATCTTCATTATACTGAGGTATAATGTTTGTATCAAAGGGATGATGATGATGATGGATGTTCAGGGGAAGATACATTGAATAATGACATTGAAGATGTCATTAAAGATGGTGTTGAAGATATGGATGAAACTGTTTTATTTGTATTTGACATCAATATTGTTGTTTCTTCTTCTGATAACAATAAAAATGCATTTAATAATTGTGAACCAAAATTCATTAAATCAATTGGTCTTATTTGATGTTCAATAACTACTACAGATTCATTTGAATGTTTTCCTTTTATTGTTCTATTATCATTATCTTCTTGTTGGTGTTTTTCTTGTATCTTTCTTGGAATTAACTGATTATCATACCATTTACGGCGAATACCACAATAAGAAGCTTCAATTGTATAAGAGCGTACTACATTGAATTGACGCCAAACAGCTATACGTGCTGTAGTCTCTTTAGCTTTACTAACTATATATCTGAAATGATAAAGAAAAGAAATATGATGAATGAAGGTTGAGCAAAAAATATTGTGAATTGTTTGAAGTTAGACACCAAAACCAATGAATGTTAGCTTAGTGGTAATAGATGTTAACTGATGACACACGTTAGATCAAAGAGTTCCTTTACTTGTAAATGGTCTTTAGTCGCAGGCTGGGACTAAAGAATACCACGACAGGGTGGAAAGGTCGTCCATTAAGTCTAGGTTTCAATGTTGGTTTAGCTCGAATCAATTCGTGAAGTAATAAACAGTTAGGCAATGCAAGGGCCAAAAAATAATTAAAGGTGTAACATAATAATAATAGTATGTATGTATGCATTATTATTATTGTTATTTAAACACATTAATATTGGTACAATGGGGCATTCTATACATATGCACCACACAATTCACGTGATTTGTATGTGGGCTGTGATAATGCCCGGGTGTCCAGACCGAAGCAGGTGGTTTTCTTAGAGGGCCACACCTGGAGCTTTCGACCTAAAGGTCTGATCCACAGGGCAATGAAGCAATGTCAGGAGATGCAGTTCAATCGTATCTGGTGACCGACAAGAGGTTCATACGCCATTTGTTCAATTAGGATCCTAGAGCCCATGTGCATTATTGGTTTGAAATGAGGGTTTTTCAACTCTTCTAGGTGGATCCTCTATATCCACTGGTTGAAACGTATGCCGTACATTACAATATGAACAGATCAAGTAATGACTGTTGGACATTTGTGCGAGATTCAGATGACAATGACATGTAGTTTGATGCATGTTTAAAGTTAAGTAAATTTTGGAAACATTTAGCAACAAAAAATCTTAAAATTTATAAATATAATAAGACTAATGAATGGGGATGAACTTGAGAGATCCTGAAGGTAACTTTATAAGGAAGGGGATTAGATTTTGATGATGAAAATAATTGAAAATTAATAGGACTCAAACTAATGTGACATTTTAATATGAGCAAAATACTTATGAAATTAATGGTTTAAATTTATAAGCTAGACCATCCTGAAAAACCTGAAAACAATGGACGGTCATTTAGTCATAGTATGGGACCTTCGGTATCGTATGAAAACGCTTAACCTTTCGATTATTAAACCGGCATTCAACGGTTTTAATGTCTAACTTCAATTAATCTATCATTTTGCTTAACCCTTCATCTATTGTTTGAGGTAGATAACTAGACATCACATCCGACATGGATTGGACTGCACACTGGTGACCGTTTCTCACCAGGAACTCCAGGGAAATACATGTTGAATCAATTCAAAGAAGAAACTATTAAATTGAATGATGAATTGGTTCGAATTTTGAAGGCTTTATAAATATGAATATAAAGTTTTAACACTTAAAGGAAGAAATAGATCATAATTTGATTAAATGATAAAGTATTTAGAAATGTATTCCTGTTAATAGTTTATGACCTAAAACTAGTCCATTCATTAATCCTCCCTTCACACACACACACACACAAACACACACACACACGTACATGTACATAGATTGTACAAATCGGAATAAACAAACTTTATTGACACATTGAATTATCTTATAGATAATGAATAAATCCCATATGAAGTATCTAACGGTTAACATACACTCTCTGTCTTCCCTTAAACTAAGAGATTAAAATCACTTCATATCTTTCTTTCTATCAACTAATTCTTTCTTCATGTATATGCAATCTTTCTTTTATATATTACCACCACTACTATAAATCCAATGTTCACCTTGTTGTGCTAATGCGGTATGACAACTTGAACCGATGCATATATGTCCCTTATCCTACATTGTAGCTGACTGACTGACTAAACATAGAGACAATATAATTTTAGGCATATCCATAAAATGATACATTTTAAACTACAGAAAAAGAAAATGAATAAGAAAACAAACTTTTGCATCGTGAAAGTTTAATATGATTGTCACTGTTTACAGTGATTTTACAATACTAACTTAAATACTCGATCAATACTTAGTTACTTACTTAAGCCTGTTACTCCTCATAAAGGAGCGTTAGATCGATCACTGACATTCGGCATTTAATTCTATCTTCGGCAATCCTTTCCAGTTCTTATTCATTTCCTTTGATATTTGTTTCCAATTCCTGATGTAATGTGTTCTTTGGTCTTCTTCATATTTATTTCCTTTCAGGATTTCAAAGTTAGAGCTTGTATCGTGATGCAGTTTGATGATTTTTGCAATGTATGTCTTTTCTACTTCCAGCGTCCTTTCTTAATTTCCTTCTTAGATGAAAGTTGGTTTATTCTCTCCTACCATAGGTTGTTATTTATGGTATCCGGTTAACGGACATTAAGTATCTTACGTAAACAATTGTTTATAACTACTTTATTATACAACTCCTTCTTATACTGTTCTAAGGTTACTACTAGGCATATAGTCAACAATCACATCCCCTAGAAAACAACCTTGCTAGAAAAACTCTGAGTACTCAGTCATGTCGTTAGATATTTAGACATGGGGTTATTAGTCACATACCACTTGAGTTCAACCATATTAAGTGTAAGGCAATTAATCACCGATGATATAAAAAGATGATATTTGTGTAATATTAAGAAGTGGTTACAATCAAATATATAAACTTTTGAATAGTTACTCAATGATCCAATCGTTAAACGAAAATTCTATGATCCACGATTCGATCGTTATGATGATGGTGATGTGTGTAAGGGGGGTCGTAAATGCTTGTTGCCGAGGTGTTCAACACTAGGATGAAACAAGTGCTCATTGTCTTTTGGTTTCTTAATGATTGTCTAACCATGATGTAACCTTTACAAAATTCAATAATATTCACAAACACTATGGTAACAATTTAAAACCTGGAAATTTATCAACTAATCCATAATCTAGTAAATAAAGTCAATAGAATGAAAGTTTAGGGGTTGTGGAGATTGTTATGTTTTTGATTTAGATCATGAACCGATTAATGTTAACCACCACTGAAAACGTGGAAACACTGGACGGCCGTTTCGTCCTATTGTAGGACTCCTTAGCAGTGCGCATCGACGACCCCGCTCGTGGGAGTTTGGTATATATATATTAGCATAACAACAAAAAAATTAACTTACAAACATGATTGTTTTGAAAAATATGGTGATAATTGATTTAATATATCAGCTAATTTACGATATGAATTATCTTCTAATTGATTGATACCACGATAAGTTGGATTTTTTATATCTGGACATAACCATGATTCAATGGAACTACATCCATATAAGAAAATATTTTTCATACGTGAATGACCATGGAAATCAATGAAAATCTGTTCATACATACACACACACACAAACAAACAAACGAAAAAGAAAAGAAACAGAAGTATAAATAAGATTACGATTAGCAACGGGAACTGATATAGCAATTTTATGAAATGTTTTGATATTCAAAAGTTCAAAGTGAGATTCAATCAGAATATTCACAGTATACATGAATGAAGTCAATTAGTTAGTATAGATAATGCACTTTAAATATATACTCACTCAATCATATTATTCCACTTCAAGGGAATATAAACACTACGGTGTGCCTCAGAAGATAGTCAATATCATACAGAACTCATATGATGGATTAAACTACGAAATCGTGCATGGAGGATGTTATGACTTTAAGTTGTGGCCGATTTTTACCCTGTGCTAATTGTTGTGTCCTTGACTGGGAAATTAGAGAGCAGCGTACTTATCGATCGATTCAATGACACGTAAACACGTACGGACGGCCTAGAGTCTCGATTGGTCTCACTTCCCTGTCTAGCCCAGTCAGTTGAGTCCAGAACACAAGTCACAGCCTCGGAGATATGAATCATTGTATTTCAGACATGCTCTAATTATATACCAAACAAGCAAACCACATCGTACCATAAAAATAGTAAACAACATTTACACAATATGTAACGAATGAATTAAATAATAGCTAATAGGGAATGTACATTTAAAGTCCAAGGCCACCATAGACTTAACATGACAATGATTGGCATATTATTCTGTATCCACAACAGAGGACAATTGACAAACTCGTTCAAAGTAAAGACCGGTGTCAGGCAAGGTTGCTTACTCTCACCCTTCCTCTTTCTCCTGGTGATCGACTGGATCATGAAGACATCAACATCTGAAGGGAAGCACGGGATACAGTGGACATCTAGGATGCGGCTGGACGATCTAGGCTTCGCAGATGATCTGGCTCTTCTATCCCAAACGCAACAACAAATGCAGGAGAAAACGACCATTGTAGCAGAAGTAGGTCTCAATATACACAAACAAAAAAGCAAGATTCTCCGATACAACACAGTATGCACCAATCGAATCACAACTGACGGAGAAGATTTCGAAGATGTAAAAACCTTTACATATTTGGGCAGCATCAATGACAAACACGGTGGATCTGATGCAGATGTGTGGGCGCGGATCGGAAAAGCAAGAGCAGCATATTTACAATTGAAGAACATCTGGAACTCAAAGCAACTGTCAACCAACACCAAGGTAAGGATTTTCAATACGAATGTCAAGACAATTCTACTGTATGGGGCAGAAACCTGGAGAACTACGAAAGCCATCATCCAGAAAATACAGGTGTTTATTAGCAGTTGTCTACGTAAAATACTTCGAATCCGTTGGCCGGACACTATTAGCAACAACGTACTGTGGGAGAAAACAAACCAGATCCCAGTGGAGGAAGAAATCAGGAAGAAGCGCTGGAAGTGGATAGGACACACATTGAGGAAAGCACCCGACTGCGTCACAAGACAAGCCCTCACATGGAATCCTCAAGGCCAAAGGAGAAGAGGAAGGCCAAAGAACACATTACGCCGAGAAATGGAAATAGATATGAGAGAAATGAACAAGAATTAGATAGAACTAGAAAAGAAGGCTCAGTGCATAGTGGGTTGGAGAATGCTGGTCGGCGGCCTATGCTCCATTAGGAGTAACAGGCGAAAGTAAGTAATTAAGTAAGGGAATATAAACAATATTTTGATTAATACTTCATAAGGGAGTTGAATAAAAATGTAATGTTACTACTCTTAATATTATATAACATATTCTAATATCATGAGTGGTTTTGTGGAAAATTTAGAGATTTCAGTATTCGAAATCATGAGTCAATTGAAGCTAGACTATCATGGAAAATGTGGAAGCACTGGACGGCCGTTTTGTGCTAGTATGGGAGTCCTCAGAAATGCGCGTCTAAGATCCCACCACTCTGAGAGATTCCAGCCCAGGACCTATCAGTCTCACGCGCGAGCGCTTAACCATTAGCCCATTGAGCTACTAAACATAGTAGCAATATAGTAGTCATCCAATCAGAAACTCAAAATATGACTTTCTGACTTCTAGATGTTTCTGGCAAAACTTCTACTAAACGCTGATTGGATAAAATGCATCACAGTATTTTCAGAGCTTCTCTTAGTTGTTTTTTCGAGGAGTTTTCTTGACCTTCCCAACAGATCCCAATGAGATTGCTCACTGACTGAAATATAGACGTCAACAAGTTATTAGTGAATATATGAATTATTTATCTAGTTAACATCACTACTACTCTTCACATATTTATAAGGGGAATCAATTTGTTCATCATCTATAAATATAGATTAGTTGTAAGCTGTGGAGGCCCGTTATCTATTCGTTATTTAAATCGGACGATGTTGTCGAAAGGGCTCTCCACTTTAGTGACCCGAGATCTGACTCCAAGGTCATTGTAATGATGATTGTTGTTGAAATATATATGTCACCTATCTTCGTATATAATCATCGACTTTAATCGCGTTAGTCAATAACGGATTTAGATAAGTCAAATAACGAGAATGGACTTTTGAATACATAGATTTTGTGTATGAAGTGAATGGAATAGAACGAATCAAAACGACGCACAGCGGAGATGGCCGGTAAGCCAACTCCCATATAACCAAGCGTTAATCAATATTTATAGTTACACAAAAATAAGTTACAGATATGTGATGAGTAATGGGATAAGAAATGTACACACACTAACGCGCTCATATAAAAACAGTGAAGATTGATAAGCGAATAATTAACACGGTCAGAATGTGACTCAAATAGGATGAAGAGAATGGGCTGTCCGAATGCTGGAATAAGGTATATGGGCTTAACATAATAACCGACATTACAAGGAGATGCAGTCCCATGGTAGCCGGTCACCAACGATTGGTTCGTACGCCATTTGTTCCTTCAGGATACTGGAGCCCATGTTGACTAGTGGACTCTCAGTGTCCACCAACCCGGTAAAGCCTCTGCCGGACATTCGATTTTCATCGTCTCAATTTCGTAAGTGACATTAATGCCGCGAGAAGACAGTGAGTAGGACTTCCCTGACAATGATTGTATGCACATGGTCATGTGAGAGCATTTCGAAAGGCGAGAGCGGACTCTCCTCACTCTCAATCGCACCAGAGCATTTGGGGGCTATGATAAAACTGATTTCTTCTTCTTCTGTTTAATTGCTCTGATTAATTATCAGAGCTGTATATATACAACCGAACTGAACAATGAATTACATAATAACCCATATCAATATATATATCAAACCGACTTACATAAGGTGAACGTTCACAAAATGTAAGAAGTTCCATTAACATTTTAGTATGATAAATAGTTGGATGAATTAAAGATGATGGATTAATCCAATGACGATTTAAATCTTTACCAGATATTGAACATCGATGACTTCATAGAAGAAACATATATATATGACAGAAGAAATGAAATCAGTCAAACAAAAATAATAAAAAACTGTGTGACTGTAAAGTATTTGATAGAAATCATGAACCGATTGATGTTAGATCACCATTGGAAACCTGGAAGCATTGGACGACCAGTTCGTTCTGTTGTGGCACTTCTGCACAGTGCTCATCTATGATCATCTCGCGCAACTGTCTCATACACGACACTGATTGTACTCCACTTGTCACAGCTTCACGACGAGAGCTCCAGGAAATACATCTTGAAGCTAGTCACTAGTGAGTACATGATTATTATCAGAGTGGGGATTTGTGGAGACTGTAGTAACCGTTGAATTCATGAGTCGATCTAAGCTAGACTACCATATTTTTGTTATATTGATTAGTAGACTCTCAGACTGACATACGTCATACTTTCTTATTTCCTAGTTTTTGTTTAACTCAAAAATCGTTTTTGTATCTGATTATCGTTAATTAATTAGCCCGGTTTAGTATCACTTCCCAATTAGTTTCGTTGTTTAGTCAGATACTTCAAGTATATTATTATATTAGTTTGAGTTATGATTGGATTGAATACAATAATGAACTAATCTACTTCCCATCTTCGCCCTCTAATTGGACACTGAAGTTCGAAGGAGCTTGAGGACCAATAAGCCTTAGGATCTTGCTTGTTGTTTCTTGGTCTATTTGCCAACTAGTAAATAAGTCACCGGTCCTACTGGCAATATAAGTACACTAATCGATGATCAGAACAGAGGAAGAAATCACACAACTAATTTCCATCCATTACAACACAATCATATGGGATTCAATAAAGCTCAAGAAATCTTTTCGTCGAAATAACAGGAGGCATCAATATTCATATTGATCTGTTCTCATATGTTTTCCTATTCTCAAACTATTCCAATTTTATTTCCTAAGTGCAGCAGTTTGATACATGTTATGAATTCTTATTTACAGTGCATTATAGTCTTGTATTTTATCAAGTGAATTTCTGAGTTAGATATGTAGAGGTTAGATCGATTGTCTACTTCCTATCGTCCAACTGAAGGGCTCAGTCAAATGTTCAATAAGCCATTCTATATCAAGTCATTTAGACGTTGTATCTTTCAAGTTCGAGTCGGTACATTTCAAACACCTACCATAGTCTACAGATCCAGAAATGTCGAATAAAATAACATTTCTGGATAAAATTAAACAATTTCGGTGAGACTATAATTTATGGACGACCTTTGAGTGACGCCAAAGTAACCTTGAGAGTGTCTACCTAGTTACCAGGGCTAAACGAGGGTTATAAAACAGTTTGAAGAATAAATATTATGATTCATAGTTGATAGTTAGGGTTAGGAATTAGATTTAGCGTTTTCATCCCAAACTGATATCAGCTATTAATGCCAAGATTCTATTCAGCCAAATGGATGAATGGATTTCGCGCTAAAATCTAAGACCTGTTATCCTCAATCTGATTGGTTCATTCATAAATTATAATCTCATCATAAAATCGCCTTGACAACTAACTGAATAATACTCACTTTCCAACAATAACACCATCAGGATTTAACATAGGGATTATTTTAAAAATGAACATTTTACGTAATTCATTGATTTTCATATTATCATTAGATAATAATTGTTCTATTAAACCTTTTATTATCCAACTAGAATTTGATTCACCTGGATGTACACGACATGTAAGAATGATGTAAGAACGTTGATTATTGATATTTGTAGATTCATCTAATTTAGAATACAAATTGTTAAGAAATGATGTAATAAGGATTAATGCAAAGGAATTCAAGAGGATACTGAAAAAAAATACAAATGTATTAATGATAAGTCTTGTTAATTTGAACGTTTTATTCAGTTCCTAAGCTATTCTGATAATTCGCAAGCTAGAACTACGCAGTGACTTGAATTCGAGAGAAAAAGCCTAAAATAAGCAAAAAACACGAGTATTCATAGATGTTCACATTTGTTAAATCAACATCATATTTTGGCCAATCCGCTAAAAGATATTTTATACTATTGACCAATAGTAGCACGCCATGTTGATATTCTAGAAAGCTCCATCATACTCTGATTCGCTAGGACTCTTCGGCTCCCTTAGGGCCTCTGGACGCTCCGTTGCAGTTCTCGGAAAGCCGAATCAACAGTTAGTCTCATACATTTTAACAAAATTTAGTCAGTCACTCAGTCAACAACGTAGAACTTCGTACGTGCGTACATTCCCTAAAATGCCCTGGTACGGCTGAGAGTAGGGAGAGTCATCTCTACCTCTTCAAATGCTCTCACACGGCCACGCGTATACAGCCGATGTCAGGGGAGTCATACTCACTGTCTTTTCGTACCACGGGTATTGTTTAAAAAATTGAGAGGACGAAAAGCGAATGTTCGGCGAGGGCTTTAACCGGGTTGATGGATATGGAGAGTCCACCTAGGGAAGTTGAAAAACCCTCATTCCAAACCAATGGTGCACATGGGCCCCATGATCCTATTGAGACAAATGGCGTATGAACCAATCGTTGGTCACCGGCTATCATGGGACTGCATCTCTTTATGTTGCTCCAATTCCTTGTGGACCAGACCTTTAGGTCAAAGGCTCCGGGTGTGGTCCTTCCTAAAAAAAATCACCTGCTCCGGTTTGGGAACCCGGTCAGTATCACAGCTCTCACACAAATCAAATGAGACTAGTGTGGCGCATATGTATCTAGTGCTCCCTTGTACCATTATCTGTGTTCAAATAAATAAATAATAAAAACGTGAGTACATCAGTTAAGGTTGCCATACCACATTAGCACAGAGATACAATTGTTGATTCAAATCCCATAGTGGTAGAAGTAGTAAAAGTATGAGCAGTAATTGGGAAGATTAGAATTTGGAGATGTTATTCAAGGAGTATAATCCAGTTGAAAGAGAGAAAAGAGATATGAAGAATTCAGAAGACTAGAATTTGAGAGAACACAAAGAGTATATGCACCTGTGCCACTGCAAACGATTTTGAGCCATGTCATTCAAGGTAAAAATATTAGAATGAATAAAACTATTATTTGGATCATGAATTGATTTTGGTTAAATATACATTTAAAATAAAGAGGAACTGGACAGTTGTTTTATTTCCCAAGTGGTAGCGGGCACCCACGACTTAAGTGACCTCCAGTTCTAGCGACAAATGGTTAACCTATAAACTACTGGTTCAACATTTATTGGTATAAGTTCTTAACTTTAACCTATTCACAAAATTGTACAACTATCTTCCTTGATGTTTAAATAATCATTTGTTCACCAGCGACCTATTTCAAAAGGTATTCTACATAGCTTTAATTAGAAACCATAGCCAGTGGAGTTCAACAACATCGGGCGTTAGAAAATCGGTAATGGAATGAGCTTTCGCAATACCACATTTAATCTCATTAGTTCAATAGTTTGAGTGCTCACAACGAAACATAAAGGTCTCAGACCATGGATCTGGATAGATCGTGAATGCACATAGCCATTTAAGAATAGCATTATAAAATGAAGGGAGTGTCCGATGTTTTATGCTTTTGACTGGTTGTCTAGTTTGTATAGGAAAATTAATTTCTAAATAAATGCTCACTTGAAGAGTCCGAAGTTTGTGTTACTGTAATTAATGGGACTGGATTGGAAAGGATAGTTGAAGTTAACTGTTGAATACGAAAGTAAATATTGTTTGGTTGATTTAATATTTTATTTTGCCATTTGTTTAAATCAGTTAATAAACGTGTATAGGTATATGGATAATGATAAGCAAGATAGCAGACATCGCCAGTATATGGAAAGCATATCGTAAATGTAGCTGTATAATACGTTCCACCATCCACATTACCTTGAAAAAAACAACAATGATGATGATGATAATGAAAGTGTATCATGTAAGTTAATCACTAAATTACAGATACATTGGGTTATGAGAGACCTATTCAACGTTTTAACTATGACGCTCCGAGGTCGTCAGATTTAGCCATAGATAAACACATTTCTCCTATAAACTTGTCCAATCATAGATTAGGGAGAGGAAAGATTGAGAAACGACTAGGAAGCAAACCAAATAATACTGAAAAATTTCAGTGCATTGAAAGCACGCTGTGGTCGAGCACTTGGAGGCTAGTCGAGAAGACAGTTCAGATTGTGGGACACACTGGAAGATCTAAGTGAACGAGAGAAGACTATGTATGTGTATTATGCAAATACATTGTAACTTCTCGCAATAAATATACATTCTTTCTATCAATTGTCGTGTTTTACAATATGTACAAATCTTATTAGTGTGTATCAATTCTTCCTTCCGACATAGACAAGGACAGGTAGGCGGAGACCTTGACTGGAAGCATAATTGGCTACATTCAACTATGTGCATTGTTTATCATTTTATATTTAAGATGATCGTAGCTTTTAACAGCACTGAATAACATAATCGCTAGAAATATGCTTTTGTTCAGACCGATAAATAGAATGCTTATGTGTATCTTGATATCGCTCAATCTACCTGATTAAACATATAGCTTATAGAGAGCCTGCTAAAAATTGGATGCACATACGGTGGTTCATTGTAAGGTTATCCATCATAACAAAATACTAGATCTTACGAACTGACCACTACCACAAAACTTAACCAGGCTAGTCAGGATGAAAAAGCTAAGATTGATCAAAAAACATTGTTTAAAATAGCAGATTCAGGATCACTTTCATAGAAGAAAAGTGAACATAGAGTAAGCAATTGGTATTGGTTTTTAACTCTAATACAGAAAAATTGTACTCATGCATAAAATAGTTTCAATACCTTGAGTTCTTATAGAACAGAAATAATAAACGGTTAGACAAAACAAGTGTGAAAACAACTAAGATCTTGCCAAAATAGTAAGATGTTACTAGAATTTAACCCTTTCAGTATATGGCTGAGGATTATGAATCATGCCTCTTTGTCTATAATCGTTTATTTATACCATTGAATAAACTGTTAAAGAAAGAATATGAAGTAAAACTAACCAACTAATTGGAACCATACATTCAGGAATATTAAGAAATTCCTGCTGTTACTCATGAAGGTCTCTCTCTATCTGTAACACGATTACCTGGGATGTTTTGAATGACATTGATTTCAATAGTTCTCATGATTTTCTAGTTTGTACATGATCGATTGAGTGGAATTGTTAGTTAACATAATCAATCAATCAAATGAGTGATGAGACTAAATATTCACTGAATTTGCAGTGAATTCAATGCTTACTTCAATATTATAGGCTTTATCATCAATAGCCTTATCAACAAACACTTCCACAATGAATTGTATATATACATATATACTTACATTTACGAGTTGACGGTCGAGTAAAATAGTTTCTATAATAAATAATATTTGAACCAACACGTCGCCAGCATGGATGAGATTGAAGTGATTCATGAACTGAGAAAAGAAGAGGCTGCATACCTAGAAATTAATTGTAGTTAAAAAAAGACTTTAATCTTCAAAACACAGTGTTTTGAAAGACTTCAATAGGATATTACTTACTTAATTAATGCGTGTTACCCCTCGTGGAAGACCATAGGCCATCATCCACCAGCATTCTCTAACTAACTGTGTCTTAAACTCTTCTTTCCAGTTGTTTCCAATTGCTATTCATTCTTTCGATGTCATCCTCTCTATGCAATATGTTCTTTGATTTTTCTCTTCTCCATTTAATTTCAGGATTCCAAGTCAGAGCTTGTCTCGTGATGTAGTTTGGCGATTACCATAATACATATCCTTTCTTAATTTCCATTTCAGATGAAAGCTGGTTTGTTCTCTCCCATAGTAGGTTGTTGCTGATGCTATTCGGTCAGCGGACATTGGGTATCTTGTGCAGAAAATAGTTTAGAAGTACGTGTACTTCGTTGACGATGGTTGTAATAGTTCTCCAAGTTTGAGATTTGTACAGCAGAACTGTCTTGACGTTTGCATTGAAGATTCTGCCTTTGATATTGGTTGACAGACTGTTATTTTGAGTTGCATGTGTTTTTCAACTGTAGGAGTTCAGTCTTTGCTTTACCAATCTTCGCCTTTACGTCAGCATTCGATCCTACACGTTCATCGTTGATGCTTTCCACGTACGTGAAAAACTCCACAACTTCCAGAGCTTCTCCATCAAGTATGATTGGGTTGATGTTCTCTGTGTTGAATCTAAGTATCTTGCTTATTCCTTTATGTATATGGAGGTCTACTGATGCAGAGGCTACTGTTACACTAGTTGTCTTCACCTGCATTTGTTCGTGTGTATGGGATAGGAGGGCCAGGTCATCTGGGAGGTCCGAGTTGTCAAGATGATTCCGAGATGTCCGTTGTATTCCGTGCCTTCCCTCAAATATAGAGATCTTAATAATCCAGTCAACCACCAGAATGAAGAGAAGGGATGAGAGTGATCAGCTTTGTCTGACACAGGTTTCCACTTGGAATGCATCTGTCAGCTTTCCTCCATGCGCGACTTTCCAGTGTAGTCTGTCGTATGAATTCCAGATGATGTTGATGGTATCTTCAGGTTCACTGTGCCGTTGAAAGTTTATTCGGATATTGAAAATAGTGATTTCATGGAATATTTCTCTAAGTGAGGAATATACTATTAACAAGTTATAAATGCTATGCCATATTATAGTAGCACAACAGACATTTATAGATTTAAAAGGTTACAAATTCAATGTAAGCAATATAAGCTACTACAACCGTCATCAAACATGTACAAGAATTTATAAATAGTTGTCTACGCAGGATACTCAACATCCATTGGCCCGATACCATCAGCAACAGCCTTCCGTGAGAGAGAACAAACCAGCTTCTAGCTGAAGAAAAATTAGGAACAGACGTTGGAAATGTATAGGACATACATTACGCAAACCATCAAACTGCATCACGAGACAAGCCTACTTGGAATCCTGAAGGAAGGCGGAAAAGAGGGAGGCCAAAGAACATATTACGTCAGGAAATAGAATCAGATATGAAAAGGATGAATAGAAATTGGAAAGAATTGCCCAGGACAGGGTTGAATGGAGAATGCTCCACGAGGAGTAACAGGCATTAGTAAGTAAATAAGTCCATCAATAGGTCTCGATGTTACTCGTAATTTATTCCTCATTAGGATATAACAGTATTTGCCTCGTAAAATGCTTGAAATTAATGAAAAAAATTGTCTATCATCCAACAAAACAGTAAATATGACATAGCGCTTAAATTAGATGACAAGAAATACCTCAAGTTTGTCAAGTTTGCAATGAAAAGAATGGCGAGTCATCAATAAATTATAACCCCATCTATCTTACAACACACAGACATACACCCAATTCATTCTATGTAAAATAAACCTTATTCCATTATCATAATGAATAGATTATCATATATGGGATTAGTTTTCACATTGAAATTATTGTTTCACTGTAAACTGTCTATCTTGTATTTTTCATTGTTTTATAACTAAGTAGTGTTACTCAATTGGTTGAAAAACCGCTCAAGGTCGTCGTCAGGAGAGGTAGATTTTCCCGTTTGATGAAATATATAATATTAATATCAGATAGGTTTTGTGGATATTATAGTAATTTCAATGGTCAAGATCATGAGTCAGTTGAAGCTAGAGGTATATCCTGGAGTTCTAGTGAAAAGTAGCGACCAGTGGAGTTCAACCATGTCTGTTGTGAAATACTAACTCATTGAAGACAATGGTGGATGTGTTGTTCAATTTCGTGGATTAGTTGAAGTTAGACAATAACACCGTTGGATGCCGGCTCAGTGGTCTAGTGGTTAAGTGCTAGCGCGCGAAACCAATAGGTCTTGGGTTCGAATCTCGCAGAGGGTGAGGTCGTGGATGTGCACTGCTGAGGAGTCCCATAGTAGGACGAGACGGCCGTACAGTGCTTCCAGGTTTTCCATGATGGTCTAGCTTCAACTGACTCATGATCTTAACCATTGAAATTATGTAATATTAATTTACAGAATATATATGGGTAAGATAGGGTGAGAGATGGTAGCTTAATTACAGATGAAAATCAATGTTTGGTCAAGGATTACATGGATGCACATTGTTGAAGAGTCTCATACTTGAACAAAACATCTGTGTAGTCCTTCTACGTTTTTAATGATGATGTACCATAGATCAGTTTGTGATTTCGACAATGGAAATACTATAATCTCCACAAATCCCCTACAGTAACATGAATAGGTAAGAACTAGTAAATACGGGTAGGTACTAAATAAATTCCTCAAAACGTTCGCCAGATTTCTATATAAATATTAGATAAATTTAAGCTCTGAAAATACAAAGAAGGCTGTGTACATTAATCAAACTAAAAGAAACGGTTGAACGTATTTCTTCTGAACGAAAAGCTCAGGCTTTTTGATCCAATTAGCTACTGCTTCAGTCATTTGAAGGATTCTTATTTTGATGGATTTAATCAGATAGCTACTAATACTATATATCACTGTAAATGATTACTCTATGTTGGTTGTATGACTCGTTTGTACTAGATGAATGACGATTAAGGTATTTACAGGTTTAACTATGCTTTTACTTAGTCGCCGAGAAAGATGCATTGCGACTACGAAAAATACAAATTCCTAGAACAGTTAACAATGTAAGTTGTTCCACAAGAGTTGGTCGACATCCAACGGCGTGAATATCTAAATTTAACTAATCCACAAAATTGAACAACACATCCACCATTGTCTTCAATGAGTTAGTATTTCACAACAGACATGGTTGAACTCCACTGGTCACTACTTTTCACTAGAACTCCAGGATATACCTCTAGCTTCAACTGACTCATGATCTTGACCATTGAAATTACTATAATATCCACAAAACCTATCTGATATTAATATTATATATTTCATCAAACGGGAAAATTTACCTCTCCTGACGACGACCTTGAGCGATTTTTCAATCAATCAAGTAACTCACTGGTCACTGGCATAGAAAAATATCAAAGTTTAATACAAACAAACAAACAAACAAAACACATATATAGTTTCTAGGTACACAATGTATAACTTACCAGCATTAAATTGACTATCTACTTTTTCACAATTAATAATATTGAAACGATATGAAATATTCGATTGCATATTAGATACACGAAAGTAAAACCATTGTAAATAAGTAGTTGTATTAATATCAGGATTTAATATTAAATCATATTCATATTGACGAACCTTATATTGAAAAAAAAAAAATACATAGAAGGTAATAACATAATGAAGGTGGTTGATTAGGGACTGGTTTTAAGAGAAAAGTGCGGGATGGGGAAGGGAGGGAAACAAAACAACTATCCACTTTTACGTTTGTGTGCATATTATATAGAGTAGTATTGTAGTGAAGGAAAACACAGATGAGCACAAATGAATTATATTTCGCACAACATTACAGAGTTACTTGGTAAAATAGAAAAACCATACACTATAATACTTAATTTGCAAAATGTTCAATAATTGTCTCGGATTTCATTGTTCTTTCATTTCTATACTAATTGCTTTCTATTCCCGTTCTTCCTTTCTCGATCTTCTTAATCTTTTGCTGCCAGACATTACATTCCTGACTCGCGTCATATACTACTTATGTCAATATAAGTAGCACACACCACAGTATCTTTTTTATTTACTTAAATATGTTTACTTTTTTAACAGGTTTTTAATTAGAAAATCATCAAAAAGCAAGAAAGTGATAGAGTTCAATCAACTCCAGTGTTAGATAGTTGTCTGTCAAAGGCCAACGGAAGATGATTATGTTACAGTTCGAATTGAGTGAGATTACAAATGAAACCTATTGAATGAAGGCTCAATAGTTTAAAGGTAAAACAAATCATTACAAAACTCGAAAGTTATGAGTTCAATCCTAGATAAGAGTCTTGAATGTATGCCGTCAGGAAATCCCACAATAGAACGAAACAACTTTTAAGCACTTGCAAGTTTTCAATATTTGTTTAATATTAATCTTTGATGCAGCAAATGGTATTTTACTTATTGTGAATCCATCAATTTGTTCACAATTCCTTATAAAGTTATTCTTGATAAATCATGACATGTTTTGATAATCAATGATATGTGATTATAGATTAATATTACCCTGAGTTTTTGAAATGTGGTATACAAGAGTTCCTCTTAAATTCGATTCTACTTGATAAATACAAATTCTAGTAGTCAAGACGAGTTAATTGAAGCTAGACCAACATGGAAAACCTGGAAACAATGGATGGCCGTTTCGTCCTATTGTGGGACTCCTCAACAGCGTGCATCCACAATCCCGGCCCCCTGCAAGATTCAAATTCAGGACCTATCGGTCCCACGTGCGAACGCCTAACTTCTAGACCACTGAGTTGGCCGGCATCCAATGGTATTAATGACTCATGATCTCAACTATAAACATTACTCTAATATCTATAAAACCCCTTCTGGTACAAATACAAATTCGAAAGATATATATATATATATATATATATATATATATATATATATATATATATATATATATATATATATATAGAAATTCTAACTGGATCTCATTTAAATTGATTTATTTTAAAAGCCGGAATTCATTATTTTAATTCTATTTCTTATAAATTTATGGTCAGTTTGAACTAAGATTTATCGAACTATCATCCAAGACTAGATAGGTTTATTGATGATGAAAGTTTCAATAGTTGAGATCATGTGTCAGTTGAAGCTAGACCACCATGAAAAAACTGGAAGCACTGAACAGTTGAAGTTAGACATTCACACCGTTGGATGCCGGCCAACACAGTGATCTAGTGGTTAGGCGTTCGCGCGCGAAACCGATTAGCCCTCGGTTCGAGTCTCGCGAAGCGGGGTCGTGGATGCGCACTGCTGAGGAATCCTACAATAGGATGAAACGGCCATTCAGTTCTTCCAGGTTTTCCATGGTATTCCAGCTTCAATCGACTCATGATTTCAACTATTGAAATTACTACAATCTCCACAAAAACCCTTTTGATGATGAAAGTATTCTGAAATATGGAACAGTGAATAAATAAGAAATTCTTCAAAGTTAATATATATATATACTTCAAGATTGTAGTTTGAACTTGGAACGACCACAAATGTCATTGGTTCGTTGCCTCTTTAATACATTATTTTGTGACGTCTCCCAAGGACCTTTTTATACTGTATATATATGCTTGACTTTTGTGCTTGGTTGTTCGTACTTCTGGCCTCTTGTGGGATATACCTTTCCCCATATCTAAACCTGGTCTAATCCCTATAGTTAGCAGGGCTAGGATGCATCGGAATAGTTTAGCATGTCTTGTCGTTCTGTTGAATTTTTAGAAAATCAAAAAAAATGATTGCGTCTCACTTTCACGTAGAACCTTTTAGAAGATTTTTTAAATATAGACGGATAAATAGATATCAATAACATACAGTCTGGTACATATGTGCAAGTTGCCATGAGCTGGATTAACAAGACCAGATGTAAATGATAAAACCGATCAAAATAATATGGTAACAATGATTAAAAGTAATAACACAACCTTGGCAATATGCTTTGAAAAGACAGAGTTGAAAGGTTTGTATGAAGGGATGCTGGAATACAGATGAAAAAATGTCATTCAATTAGATTGACTTACTTGTATTGCTTTTCTCAAATTACCACATTCGAAACGAGATTCAAACTCTAAGTGACCTTTTTCAGCGTCAAATTGACCAATCCTAAGTAAAAAGAAACAAACATATGATATCAATAGGCTATACGTTTTCAGATCCATAAGTTTATCCATAGCCTAAAAATAAATTTTCAACAAACACAAAGATATTGTGGTATATACTACTGATATCGACAGATATAAGTAGTATGTATCACCAGTCGAAAGTGAAATACCTGGCGGTACAACATTAAGAAGATTAAAAAAAAGAGAATAGGAACAGAGAATGATTAGTAGAGAAACTAACGAACAATGAAGTCTGAGATGATTAATTGACATTTTGCGGTATAGGTGTCAGACTTGACGAAGATCTATGAGTGAATAAAGATACTAAAATGATTAGACAGTCAGTTGTACACAAAAGGGAACCTAACCGATCTATGCATCAGTTTAAATTACCATACAACATCACAACAGCAAGATTATCAGAGTAGCAATAGTAGAAGAAAATAATACACACAGTCTGTATGATTCGAGAATAATAAATGGATGAAATTGTGAATGATTTTGAGTCATGTCACCGAATACCTAAATCATTGAAAGTGTCATCACCAAGAATAAACATGATAATTTAAAATAGATTTTGACCGTCAGTAGGGGTTATGAAAATCCGGAAGGAACCAAGAAGCACTGGACGGCCGTCTCGTCCTAGTATGGGACTTGTGAATTGGTTGAACTTAGAAATCGTTGAATGCTGTCTTCTTCAGAGAATAAAATATTTTATTTTTCTGTACATAATATTTCACTTATTGTGATTGTGAAGACAAAACATGAAAATCCCAACCAGGTGGGGCCTTCACCCATCAACATGGTTCAAATCAATAGTCACTGACTTCATAGACTAATAGCATAGTTATATCTTGAGATTGCCAATCGAAATCACGTGCAAAATTCCCCGATTGCAATTCCAATTCTAGTTTTCTTTATCCCATGTATAGTTTTTTGGTTATAGCTTAGTGTTCTCAATCTGACTAATTACAGTTCGGACGTTTACAGTTAACGTAGAACCAGAACAAGCTGATCTCTTTTTGGTTAGCCACCCGTAAGCCCTTCTCCATCTTCTGTTTTGTGTCTAAAGAGAAGACAGCAACCAGCCTCTATTATATACTATATTTCAAGCATATGCGAACTTATATATATATATATATATATATATATATATATATATATACTAGACCACATCATGCAATGAATCGAAAAATCACAATTATACATAAACAGGCCAAAGGTGGCTGTGAATAGTCTAAGCTATAATTAATAAACTGGAAAGAACTTGAGAACAACAAGTCGTACAACTGAAGTCAATGAATTAAACCAAAGCTGACGATAAACGGAATATAGGAATATAATAATCCGCTTACTTAATACTTATACATTAAAAGTATAATTGATAATAATTTGAAGAACAATTACAAAGTCCCGTTACAACATGCCAGGTCTTTTTTAGTCAACCCCCCCTCATAGTTTCCTTCCAACTATTTCCTAAACCAGTCATCATCGACGTAGAAAGTGATTAGGCATGTGAAATGTATGTCATAGTTAATTATTTGATTAAACGATCTTTCACTGAGACACATTTACAATTACTCAATCAAATAGTCTATAATGGAATCGGATTATCTATTTCATCACATAGTTACAGAGAACTGTAGTAAATTTTAGTGAGATAAACTAGATGTTCAGTTGTTAAGTGGTTAAAGACAGTCGACAGTAAACCTTTACTACACCTAGGTTTCGTATTAGTTGGCATACGTCAACAGGTGGTACCCTAGAGCTTAGAGGAACAAGTAGTTGAATTAAAACTTGATCAATAGAATTCGATCAACATTAAATGATTAAAGAAACATCAGACTGGTTAATATCTAGTGATCAACTAATGGTAAACAGTTGTTCAGCATTATATTGGGGATGTTAGATCTCCAGAACTCACTTGGTAAATATCTTATTTTTGGAATTTTATTTTAAAAATTTGAACTTCTTGTTTTCGTGCCAAAAGCGCTCATTTTCACCTTCATGTCGTATTTCCCACTTGGGGGGATCTTAAATGCTATTGGTTCGTTGTATCTTTCAGTATGCTATATTGTAACGCTTTCCAAGGACAATTTTATGCTGTATACATATGTTTGATTTGTGTCTGTTGTTGTTGCTCGAGCTTCCGTCTGCTTGCGGAATATATTTCCGCGTTTCGAAATTGGTATTCTCTATCTAGTTGGCGGGGTTGGGATGCGTTAGAATAGCTAGCTAATTGATCTTTGGTCACAAAATCTTTGTTTCGTTCTCAAACTAAGTGAATTCATCATCGCTTCAAATATAGCACATTATAGCTTGAAGCTTTTTTTAAATAATGTACATGCATGGTTGAAATAGTTTCCCGGTGACATTCATGAATCGGGTATAAAACCCACTGTGAATTGTAGGAGGGTCAATTAGTTCTAGATTTTATATGACTTCAAAGGTAAATAACTATTTATCGATTATGAACATTGTTAATTGAATAAACTCATATTAATAAATGCCAACTTACAATAATTCATCATGATTCGTTAAGTTAAAGTTATCCAATGAAGATGATATAGTTGAAGAAGGACAATGATAATCCTGTTGATGATTATTACTTGTCAACTTTGTACTATCTAATGAACTATTATCTACAGTATGATCATTATTCATTATTTGTACACAAGAAGTTGATATAACTGTTGATGATAGAACGTTCATTTTGGATGATTTAGTTGAGACTTCTGAAATTGTATCACTAACATTATATTCTAAATTACTATTTAATAAAAGTTGATTTGATTTCATTTTCAATGTTGACGAATGTTGACCTTGTTCTTGTTGTTGTCGTCGTCGTCGACGCCGTTGTTCCTGCTCTTCCTCCTCCTGAGACTGATGAATTTGTTTTAATGATAATGATTGGTATTGAGATTTAATTAATTCATCTATATCATATACAACACGATTGATTAAATCATTGGATTCAATAAATCGTCTTAGATCATCAAGTATTTCTATATGTGGTATATCAGATATATTAAATGGTCTATGGAATGATTTATTATTATTATTATTATTATTATTATTATTTGATGATTTATCCATAGTTTTATTTAATTTAACTGATTTAAAAGTTTTGTTTAAATTGTTTATAGATGAGTTCGTTTGGATGATCGGATTAGTGGAGCCATCATCTATAAAATAAGCATATAATAGTAATGATCAGATAAAGGTTTTGTAGGTATTATAAGTAATTTCAATAATTGAATTCATGAAACAATTGGAGTTAGATCACTATGGAAAACCTTGAAGCACTAGATGGTCGTCTCGTCTTATTGTAGGACTACCTCAGCGGTGCGCATCCACGATCCCACCTTACGAGATTCGAACTGGGGACTAATCGGTCTCGCGCGCGAACGTTTAACCTCTAGACCACTGAGTTGGCCGGTATCCAACGGTGTTAATGTCCTACTTCATTAAATCTATGAAATTGAGCGACGCATCCACCATTGTCATCAGTGAGTTACTATCTCACAACAGACCCGGTTGGACTCCACTGGTCACTGTGAGATTGTTAGGTCTTGGGTTCGAGTCTCATGAGACGGGATCGTGGATGCGCACTGCTGAGGTAGTCACACAATAGGACGAGACGGCCGTCCAGTGTTTTCAGGTTTTTCATGGTGATCTAGCTTCGATTGACTCATGATCTCAACTATTAAACTGAAAATGAGGCAAATAGTGTGAAACTATAACTTTTGAAAATATTATACGAAGGATTATATATATCTGTTATATAGTTAGCAGACCCTTAGACTTTTGTATTTTTATACTTCTTATTTCTTTACTTTTATCTGACTCAGTAATTGTTGTCACGTCTCATTAACCCAGCTTTATCATTAATGAATCATTTCTCTATTACTCCGGTTTTGTATCACTTATGACTGAGTTATATGCATATTGTGATTTCCCGATAGTGTTGTTGTGTAATCAGACGTTCCAAGTATGTTTCAAGTTATAATCGAATTGAGTACAATCGAGAGGTAGTCTGTTTTCTATCCTTATCTTTTGATTGCCTGCTGGGTTAAACGGGGCTCGAGGGCCAACAGGTGTTATGATGTTGGTTGTTGTTCATCATTCAGTGTGCCATGTGGTAAACAGAAGGTCATCGGTCGGTCCTACTGGGAATATGAGGGTACTAATTCATAACGGGGCAAGAGGGAGAGAGATTAAACAACCACTTGTTTGTCGTCGCGGTCCGATCATACCTGGTCAAATACAATTGAAGGAACCTGTTACTCTATTTTCCGTTGTATAAGAAACGTTCGATATCTGTCTCCTTGATCTACGTAAAAGCTGTCAATCATAAAATAATGATACTTCTGTGTGCTCAAAAAAAAACTAGAGAAACAAAATAAACGTCCATAGTATTTCTTTCTCAAAATAATTTGGTAAAAGTGTCATACGTTGACGAACCAATCAGATATAGATGATTTTAGATTTTCACGCGAAATCCAAAAAACAAAAGGATAATTAAATGGAATGTGGCTAACAGTGGAATCCAGGACGCGCGTTCCATCCATTCCGCGACTCATAAGCTGAATTGTACATGCATCCTGGGGTTGGTTCTCCCTCCAGGATAATCCAAACTATTTCAAATATACACAGAAGGATAGGTTTTATTTAAAGTTTGATTTGAGCTTTTAACTCGACATTCTAATTATGACTCCTAATCATTTTAAGTTTTATATTAATAAGTTATTTCTTTAGAGCATCTAAATTCTTACTGAACAAAATTGATCTCAATTCACTTGGTGTTGTTATACTTGTATCTTCCTATTGTTATTTAGAACTGCAATTGATCGGTCTCATGTTGGCATATGTACATCCTGTACGGATTGCGTCGACATAGCATCAAGTCATAAGCTTTTTTAAACAGAGATGGATAGTAGTTAGCAGTGGAATCCAGGTTGCGCGTTTCGTCCCCCTTGGGACTCATCAGCTGAATGTACCTGCACAAACAAGTGGCTATCAGGACTCAGTAACTAAATGGATAATGCGATGGCGTTAGAAGCGAACGATACTGGGTTCGAGTACCAGAGTGAACATCAACTTGGGGATGCAGGTACAGACACTTTTGGCTTGATAATGTATCATTATTATTTCTCATTTTATGCTGCGATGTGGTCGGTTAGGTTTGGAAATAAACACCTTATGTTTGAAATATAATATTTGTATAATTGAGGCTGAATACTAAATTTTAGATTCAAGGAGCGAAGCAGAGAGAGAGGGAAGCTATAAGGTCATGGATTAATAAGTGCTTAGCAATTGACTCAAGGTTATTTATTATTGCCAAATGGATGTGTAATTGATCAACTCAAAGATATAAGATCACAGAAATCATGATTCTGACTAGTGGTTTTGTTACGTGATATGAATTAGCAGCTATAAGACATAATAAGTTCAGATTACGATTGACAACAGAAGCGAAATAGATGATTTGATTAAACTTATAGTTAGAATCAATTACATACCTTCATGAACGTTTGATAGATGAGCACACTTCTCCTCCTCCTCCTCATCATCATCATCATCATCATCATAATCATCATCATTATCATCCACATCATCATCCGCATTATCATTAACAGCTGATGTAACTTGGGATAATTTACTTTTACAATAAGATGGAGTAGTCATATTATCATTGGATAGATTTGATTGTTGATTAAAATATCTTTCAATTAATTGATCTGTTGAATAAAATGGTTCACAATCAGTTGATCCATGTGCATCAATTAAATCAGGATAAGCTATGATTTTAAATGGTAATAAACTTTTTACTCTTTGAGCAAAATAATAATATTCCAAAGTAGTATTGTCTTTGATAGGAGGATGTATGTTTATATTACCATTAGAATAGTTATCTATTACATAGAAATTCAAAAGATAAGATTGTTATCTAAATGTTTTAAACAGTGAATAAAAAGAAATGAGAACTTTGTGAGATATGGAATTATAATTTAAATGTTCCCCCAAATGCCTTGGTATGGCCGAGAGTGGGGTGGGCCCGCCCTCCCTCTCGAAATGCTCTCACACGGCCACGCGTATACAGCCTTTGCCAGGGAAGTCCTACTCACTACCTTCTCGTGGCAGGGGTGTTATTTACGAAATTAGAGGACGAAAAGCGAATGTCCGGCGCACTAACCGGATTCCAAATCAATGGTGCACATGTGCTCCAGTATCCTGCGGGAACAAATGGCGTATGAACCAATCGTTGGTCATCGGCTACCATGGGAATGCATCTCCTCACGATGCTCCACTGCCTTGTGGGTCAGACCTTTAGGTCAAAGACTCGGGGTGTGGCCCCCTAAGAAAACTACCTGCTTTGGTCTGGGCACCCTGGCAGTATCACAGCCCTCACACAAATCGAATGATTTATATGGCGCATATCTACTTGGTGCCTCCTTGCACCAATGTTTATGTGTTTAAATAATAAATAAAATAATAATGTTCCATAGTGGATAATATTGTAGTACGTTGGTTGAAGAAAGAGATATCACACTACTGTCAATGCCAAAAAAGTGTTTAACAGGTTGTTACTGAACTGGATGAAAGATGAAGTAGACGACAAAGTTCGAGATCAACAGGTTGGATTCCGTAAGAATAAGTTGTGCACAGACCAAATTGCAACACTACGGATCATCGTCGAACAATCAATTGCGTGGAACTCGTCAATATACATCGGTGTAGATAGGAGAACATTATGAAAATTTCTCCGATACTATGAAGTATCAGAGAAGATTGTCAACATTATCCGGAATTCAACGACGGACCAAACTGCAAAGTCGTGCATGGAGAACATCTGATAGATGCATTCTAAGTGAGGACCAGAGTTAAACAAAGCTCCTTACTCCTCCTTCCGCTTTCTCCTGATGGTCAACTTGATTATGAAGAGCTCGACATCAGAGGGACAGCAAGAAATACAGTAGATAACCAAGAACCAATTAGACGATTTGAACTTCGCAGATGACCTAGCTCTCCTATCTCATACACACGAACAAATGCAGGTGAATATAACTAGTGTAGCAGCAGTCTCTTAATCAAAAGGTCTCAACATACACAAAGGAAAAAGCAAGATCCTCAAATACAACACGGAGAATGCCAACCCAATCACACTTGATGGGAAGCTCTGGAAGAGGTGGAATCCTTCACGTACCTTGGCAGCATCATCGATGAACATGGAGGATCTGATGCAGACGTAAATGTAAGAATTGACAATGAATGGACCACATTTCACCAGTTGTAGAACATATGGAACTCAAAACAACTGTCAACCAACTTCAAAGTGAGAATATTCAATACGACCATCAAGACAGTCCCACTGTACGGAGCTAAAACGTGGAGGACGACCGCAACCATTATCGAAAAATACACATATCTATAAACAATTGCCTACTCAAGATACTCAATGTCTGTTGACCAGATACCATCAGTGACAACTACTGTGGGAGAGAATAAACCAACCTTTAGCTGAGGAGGAAATTAGGAAAAGACGATGGAAATGGATAGGACATACATTGAGGAAATCATCAAATTACATAACGAAGCAAGTCCTAACTTGGAATTCTGAAGGGAAGCGGAAAAGAAGATGGCAAAAAAACATTACGTCAGGAAATAGAAGCAGATATGAAAAGGATGAATAACAACTGTAAAGAGCTGGAAAGGATTGCCCAGGACAGGGTTGGATAGAGAGTACTGATGGGCGGCCTACGCTCCTTCACAAGGAGTAACAGGTGTAGCTGATTGACGCTAGTGATAACTGACGTTGACTTCAAAATCTTGATTTTAAGGATTTGATTGAATGAAGTAAAATATTTAGAGACAAACTAAGCTAAAAGAGTATCTAGGATCAGATAACAATGAACTTAACAGATTATATAATCATTCTTTAAAAAAGTAACTAGGGTAAAGGTGATAGACATATAGACTGATGATGGACAGAATTCAATATTGATCAACTACCTTATGTAAACACTTTCTAGTTTAAATAAATAATTTTTATTTAGGACTATTTAAGGATAAATATGATAGTACATAGGTAACAGATAAAATCCTATAATAATAATGAATCCTGTCGGTTGTATAAATGGATTGTATTCAGCGAGCTATCTGTCAATCACAGTTGTATATAATCAATATAGGTCATGACACAAATGTTATGTGGCAAGTTAATACATCATAATAACATGATGAGATGAAAGTAACAAGATTGATAATAAAGGAATGAATATAATCTAGTGCTAATGCAAAAGTGAAACAATGAACATTGAGAATTTGATATGGATAAACGTAAAAAGAAAAGGTATATATGAAGAAATACTAGGACATAACAACTCGAAGAACATGAAGCATGAATTCAGTATAACCGATTTGTTTAAAATTTACGACCTTGTCAATCGATCTATCATTTTTGCCCAGTAATCTATCTATAAACTCAACGTTCCTAAATTGGTCATTTAAATATATGTTATCAGTGTTTCAAGGTCACCCTGCACTCTAAATGTAACTTTACAAACAATGTTTCACGGTTATAGAGTGGCGAAGAGCCAACCGCTGCTCAGTGTGCTCGCCCTTTGCTTGGTAGACGGATATTTCACCTACTCCCCAAGTGATGCAATCGAAAAATGAGTCCAGTAACATGTTTGTTCAGGATCTTGTATGACATGGTGTGTGTGTGTGTGTATGAGTTCGTCAACCAGACATACGCGACATAGAACCTGGGTACAAATGTGCATCAGTTCCAGCCATTACGCGCCATGTTAGTGTAACCAAATGAAACTTCCAGGACAAATCCCAAGGTAGAAGAATGATTAACGGAAGATTAAGTATCGACGATATGCTTCGAGAAGAATACATTTATGTAATAAAAGTTCATTAGATAATTTCAAAACTCAGGATCCAATTGAAGAGAAAAATTGAGTGAATATGTGCCACTGCTAATGATTATTAGCCAATTCATGTGTCGCCTGCAACCACTGGTGGTAATTATCATATAAATTCCAACCGAGGAGTCTTTATGGACCGATACCACCTTTCAGTTTGGCTTCCTTCAGCTTTCTTCAAACATAATTCTATATTAGCCAACATCTGACAAAATTTGTGTCCACTGTTAAGACACGTTAAACTAGGTTGAAACACACATCTTGTACTTCAACTCCCTTCTATCTATTGCTCTACAAAACTGAATAAATCCAATGAATATAAAATAGATGATTATTATTTGATATAAGTGTATATCTCTTAAGGACTAATACTTCAATTAGGTCTCTAAGATGATGTAATATCGATCCGTAATCATAACTAAAAGGTATATCAGAGGAAAACAACTTACATTCATAAGGCCAATTGACAGAATTCATCATATCCAATGGTTTTTCAACTGTTCTTTCATCAATCTATTTGGTATTTCCTGTTGAAATATACAAAGTTAATAGTTATTGGAGTAATTATAAAAGAAACAAGTTATTGAATGTTTTATGATATAGGAGGTATCGGAAAAAGAAATGCAATGAGATAACACTAAATATCAATACTCAGTTCATAGATAAGGTGGTAGTTGAATGTAGTTACTAGGAAACCATGGCATGACCTGAGTTTTATGCAAGTCAGTACTCATTAGCAATGTCTACACCTGCAATCTTGAGAAATCATTGCTCTCTGGTAAATTCATATTCATAAATGTTATTATTGAGCTGTTCAGATCGTGACTGACCTCTAGTAGGACTGAGATATTTACAATTAATTGATCACTGGTAAGTGACCAACGTTGTGTATGTTCGCCTTTCTGACGAGTGTCAACACCAGGCCGAAACACATATCCAGCCAGGGTTTACTATCGACTACTTCCAACAACTTAACATTTTGGCATAGTATATGTGATGTCAAGTCAATTAGACAAGTGGTCACATTGTGATATGATCGATAGAATTCGATCATCACTAATTAGGTCTGTAGAAATATGATGAAAGATTCAATAAGGAGAATATTGAAAAGGTTGAAACTTTCGGTACTATTTAAAAAAAATTCATTTGTATTGGTTATTTGAATCTTTCAGTCGTTGCTTAGGACTGAGATTAATCAGTCTCTTTTGAAATAAATGCATTATGTACAGATTGCCTCGATATTCCTATAAAGTTGAAAGCATTTTAGGTAGAGATGGATGGTGACTAGCAGCAGAATTCAGTCCCTGAGTGAACATCAACTTTGGAATGAAGGTACATTTAGCTGACAACGAATAAGAAGAAACGTGCTTCCTGGATTCCACTGATAGCGACTATCCATCTATGCTTAACATTTCTCGAATTATTATTTATATTTTTACTGTATAATTGTATTGTTGCAGTCTCTAAACCACTGAGCCGGCATCCAACGATGTTAATATCTAATTTCAACCGATCCACCATATTGCGCAACCCTCTTCCATTGCGATCAGAGTCTCAAGACATAATAAAATGCACAAATTGAAAATTTTAGTATGTATAGTAAAGTTGGTGTGTAGTTTATAGTGCAGGTCAGCAGGCACATTTGGTTCTATTTGATACAGGTTAGCTGGATATACCTGCATTCTAGTGTGAATGCTTAGGCTGGAATTTTTACTACACAACCCTATACTGATAATTATTATGTTCTCACTATTGACTAACTTTGAGAGGTAATTCTCGGAAGTTTAGTGAGAAGACGTAACTAGTAGAGTTCAACCGTGTCTGTTGTAAGGTAGCTACTCACTGAAGACAATGGAAGACGGTCGTGCAATATCGTTGATAGGTTGAAGTCAAACATTGATACCGTTGGACGCCAGCTCAGTGGTCTAGAGGTTAGGCGTTGGCGCACTACTGACTAATCTCATATTAGGACAAAACTGTCGTCCACTACTTCCAGCTTTTCAATCATGGTCTAATATTTATCCACCATTCATGATTTCAATCTAAACTCAACAATCTCACAACCCTATACTAACACCTTTTATGTCCTGAGACGCTAATCAAAGTAACATGTCGAAATCACAAAACAGAACTCCGATATTATCGACTATTTCATCGATATTTCTTGATCATTTACTGGCATTTTGATAGTTATCAGTCGTTTGAACCTTAATTGATTGATATACAAGTATATTAAATCATTGATTAGTAAGGTATGTCTATTTAACATAAATATTGGGTTATAGTACTTTATATCCCCTTTAATTGTAAGCTTCTATCTTACTCATTGTATATCTAATCGTTCTGGAGTTATTGTGAATGAATTAGATATCTACTAAACCATTTTGTTTTTATTTACATATTTGTGGTTTATTGTGATCATGTATTTAAGGTTCGTATTTATTCCCTGGTTGGATAGTGAAGTTTGAAGGAGATCACGGAAAACAGACGTTTGGGGTTCAGTCATTATGTAATTGATCGAAGAGGGGATCATCAATTCGATAGGTATAAATGAAGTTCATAATTAGCAGATTCTATTATGAAGTAATCTTGTCCAGTGAGAAATATAAAAGTGTAAGTTTGAACAGTTTGTAAACACTAAGCTGGATGGTTTGATCGTGGAGCTTTCATCGTTCTTCTGAACGACATCATCAGCACAAACTCCACTTCTACCTGGAGTTTATGCTGATGATGTCGTTCAGAAGAACGATGAAAGCTCCACGACCAAACCATCCAGCCCAGAGAACAAAACCCCATCAAAACCATTCGCCTGAGCTACAAATCCTATCCACCATCTCAAGTTTGTAAACATTTAGTTTCTTGATAAAAGCATATTTTGAAAAAACATTTTTACAAAACTATTATACGATGGGTATAGAATAAACACCACCTACATTGGGTAGATCAAACCATTCGGGAAAAAATTTTAAATGACTTGAAATTAATTCACTAAATGTGCATCGTTGACTAGTTGTTGTGACATCCTCGTGTCCAATTACATTAGCACAATCATCTTCATCATCATCGTTGTCATCTTCGTCTTCTAATTCTTCTTCGTCATTGTCATCAACACCATCACCATCAATATTCTGAGTATTCTGTTCAATTATATCGAATATTTCTGGTGATGTTAATGATGTATTAGATGAACTGATCTGTTGATATGAAGTAAATTTGCCACCGGTAACGGGTAATTCATCACTTTTTGCACCGTTGAAATCCTGTTGCTTCACAGGTTGATTTGAATTATCATCTTCTCCTCTTCGTAGAATCTTCACTTTCTGTATACGACATAATTTATTCAATTGTTGTGTATTTGCTAATTCTGTACAAGACTGACTGATGAATGTGTCTATTGATGAATTATTGTATACCTGGTTATTTGTATACAGATCGTTTATTGATTTACTATGAAGATTTTTGGAATTCATATTGGTGATTTTAGGTACCCTTTTATTCTAGAAATACAAATGTATATAGTAGTGTGAATTGTTTATCATCACAGGGAAATTAAATATACTCAATGTAAAATGAGTACTTCTTATTCAGGTTTCAGGGATGTTAATGTTCTACTGTTACCTGTCCAATTCTGATACCGATAAATAAACTTCCTATTTGTGAACCTAGTCAACTACTTGAATGAGAAGAAAGCTTTTTATTGACCAACTGAATATTTGTCTCTTAGGTATTTTAGAAACATTTTCCCACTAATAAGATGCATCTAGAGGAATAGAAAAAAGAAGCCATATCTTAACCAATCACATGTGGCTATCATCAAGTCGATATCTGATTGGCTGAATGCATCATTTGGATGCGCTTGTACTTTAAAAGACACTCAAGATATAGATACACTATCAGGCTGTATGGTTATCAAAGGTTTATTCGGAGTAAAAACAAATGACATTTCGGATCTCTTTGATGACTATCAGTCAGAAGTGTTTGATTGATAGACATTGTAATTAAACGAGGTTGTTTCATTAATGAATAAATATCAACGGAATAAGTTATGTATTATCATTCTTATGGTTGGTGAAGGAACTTACGCCTGTTATCCCTCATGGGGGAGGTATAGGCAGCCCACCAACATTCTCCATCCCACTATATCCTCGGCAATTCTTTTCAGTTGCTATTCATCCTTTTCATCTCCACGTCCAATTCTCAGGGCAGTGTGTTCTTTAGCCTTCCCTCTTCTCCGTTTAGCATTCATCAAACGATGACAATAGATAGAGAAAAGATTGAAAGACATTTGAATCAGAGCCCATAACTTATTTTCTGTTGAATGATATTCAAATCATTGCTCTAATTGAACCTTAATTGTACAATATGAGATTTTCAAATTGAGTCAAAGATTCGATAATGGAACGTTTGTTAATAGTTCCAACAGTTTCAATCAAAAACAGATCTTAGCTGAACTACCACTAAAATCCTGAGAGCACTGGACAATTGTCTCGTCTTCGTATGAGATATACTAGCAGTACGTATCCACGATTCCGCTACTGGAAACCGAGAACAGGACTTTCAACCTCACATGAGAACTCTAGATCACTGACGCGGGGTCCGACGATGTTTATCTCTAATTTCAGTCAATTCACGATATTGTCCAACCCTTGATCATTGCCTAGATTAGGTAGCTATCTAACATGCAAGGTGGTTGAACATTACTAGTTAACTTTTTTCACCAGATGTCCAGGAATTGCATCTTGGAGCTAGTCACTAGGGTGAATGTGATAAGTTTAAAACTGGTGTTTAGTGGACTACATAGTTGATATCATTCCACTATGAAAATTCAGCGAATAATCACAACATAAAATCATTTTCATAGAACAGGAAGTTATTTCTTGTCAATGAATCAAAATTCAAAATAAGAAATTATTTTGATAACAGTTTCAGTTGTGAACTGATGTTAGTTACGAAATTGTTGAAAAGTGCAAAGCATTAACAGTTATTTCAGGTAAAACTAAATTATAACTATGAGCTAATTGGGATGAACAAGTTGTTCCAAGGCCCAAAAGTATGTACTAAAACCGATTGCTGTTTATCAAACACAGATAATCTGACCGTTGCTATTACCTTGACGTGGTGGTCGGGTTCGCTTATCGTAATAAACCAATCGACCTATACTGGCTGAAACAATCGTTCCTCAAGGTCCTACCATGTCAGACAGGTCGGTTCGGAAACAGTAAGACTAAAAGCAGCAAACCCAATACTGGGAGGCGAAGTCGTACTGTTGACTGTACAGAGGTGTGACAATAGTAATGTGTTTCCTCCAGACAAATAGCATAACAACGATGCTGCTTTAACACAAGGAAGGGCGGAGTTAGAAAAGGCCGACCCTAAAAATGCACACTTCGTCTTATCCAACGGATATCCGTCTCTGGCGGTAAGGTTTCAACTAGTATGGAGCTAAGACGAAAATTACACACCAAAAGGTTGTGAATGACCGATCTCAAGCGGTTGTCCGTTGGGCAGTGTGGTCAAGTTGTCAGGTGATTAAGACCACCTCTAATCCAATTTCTTTTTCAAGTACCTGCAGAAGAACGCTTCCACGGTGTGGGCGATCGGGAAGTGATAACCGCTTTTACACTTCTAACAGCATTCAGGATCGCTAACTGAAATTTTATGACAAAAGTACACGTTTAAAGTTGAGATTAGGAATAAGATTTAAGATACAGAATCAGAATATAGAGTTCAGGATTCAGGGTTTGAGTTACAATTAGAAGTTAGAATGTACGGTTTTTGATGAACGTTTATAGAAATTAAATCCTAATGCTAAAACACAAATCATATGCCTAGCATTACAAATCATTCATCCATATATATTTAATCGTGATTCGCTGAATAAAGTTTCGTTTCTGATTAACTTGTTCCAATAAATTAGATTCACCCTATTGGCTACGATGAGTAGACATTTTCCCAAGGTCAATTCAGAAATCATTTAGGTTCGTCAGTAAGAAGATTAAACTGTACCACATTTTCCATATCACCAAAAAAATACTCTGGATAGTGGCTATCCATCTTCGCTTATAAAGCTTGTGAATTAAGGCAATATTGAAGCAGTTCGCATAGGATGCACATAAGCCAATAAGAGACTGATCAATTTCTCTCCTAAACAACAATGAAAAGATACAAGCAAACAAAACTAAGTGAATTAAATTTCATCCCACTGCACAAGCAAGTGGCTACCGAGAGTCAGTAGTTAAGTGAATAACACGATGACGTTTAAAGCAAACGGTACTAGATCCAAGTCCCAGAGTGAACTCATCAGCTGGATATATACCTGCATCTCAGACTTGTTGATGTTCACTCTGGTACTCGAACCCAGTACCATTCGCTTCAAACGCCATCGCGTTATGGACTTAGCTACTGAGTTCTGAGTTCCACTGTTAGCCACTATTTATCTTTGTTTATAAATACTCTGTTTGTTGTATGAAACGATCAAATTATATAGTACAAATGATCTAGATCACAATTTAAATTACAACTCACAACAAACGATACACTTACAATGAGAGAATTAACTTCATAGTAATAAGATTGATTTAATTTAGTTGTAATTCCTTTATTATTAACATTGATTAATTGTTTCCGATCATCAATGGATTTCTTTCGAATAACTTTGGGATTATTATTATTACCACTACTACTATTAGTAGTAATAGTAGTAGTAGTAGTAGTATTGCATAATGATAATAATAATTTAGAATAATCAGATGATGTTACACCAATAAATGGATTATTCGTTATAAAATTAATTGGATTCATTTGTTGTGATGATGATTTTCGATTGTCAGTTACATCATCATCATCATCATGAATAGAGGAAGATTTGTGTAGGAGTGAAGTTCCGCATGACCTTGGAAAGGTTATAAATAAAAGAAAAAGAATGGAAAAAAGAAAACAAAATAATCATGAAAAGATAGAGAGATTAAAAAGGATAGGGGGTATATATATGAGAGAGGGGGGAGATGAGTGAATTTGTAACATATATATCTACAGTGAAACATGTATGAAGAAAAAAACATGGTGTAAAATGTACTTTCTTTCATTTATAAAAAGAAACAAATTTATCAATGGTTCATTAGTTTAATAGTAGAAGGAAGAAAAGAAAGAAAGAAACAAACAACTGTAGAAAAGTTATAAAATATGAAAGAGAATGTATATAAATATGGATGATTTTCAAGTAAATGATGTTGGAATCACAAATTGATCTAAGTAAAACAATCACTGAAAACCTAGAAGCTCTGTGAAGACATCTCATCCTCGTAACTACCTTCGATAGGAAATTTCCGGAATTCTAGTGAGAAGTCATGACCAGTGGATTGAAATCATGTCGAGTGTGAGGAAGGTATTCACCGAAGATAATGGGGAATGATCGCCCAATAACGTGTATTGATTGAAATTAAACTTCTTCATGATTGGATATTAGAACACTTGTCTGGGGGTGAGGTGTTCACACGTGAGATTGAAGATTTATGGTTCAGTACTCGGATTGGAAGTCGTAGATGCACATTTGTTGAGGTGTTTTATGCTGATGTGAAACGGCCGTCTAATGCTTTTAGGTTTTCAATGGTTGTCTAACTCGTGATTTCGACACAACTATCAGTATACTTGACAATCATCTAATCAATAATAAAAGAAAAAAAACTATCAAGAAAAGAATCATCGTCAAAATGCTCGGTTGATTGAAAGTATAGTGATGGTCTAATTATTCAAGTATTTCAATGTCACACAATTAGTTCCATTTATGAATTTAAACAAAGCCAGAATAAACATTGTTGCAGAATAATAAGAATTCACTATATATTTCTTGGTTTCTTATCAGCTACTTATATATTGAAAGTTTACATTGAGGTAAGATATAGTGTGAAACAATTGATATAGGTAAATAAAAAGAATCGGAATGACAAAGGTTATCAATAATAACTATATATATATCACCCTATTGCACAACCAAGTGGCTATCGGGACTCAATAACTAAGTGGATAATGCGATGATGTTTGGAGCGAACAGTACTGAGTTAGAATCCCACAGCACATCTAACTAAAAACAAGTCCCAAAAAGGACGAAATGAACATCCTGGACTTTATTGCTAATCACCATACATCTTTGCTTATAACAGAAAGTCCCTTGAATTTCTCTCTACATATTTATTACTATCATGATGTATCCAAATGAGAAGTCTTACATATAGCATAATTTAATAGAATTGGTTGGATAAGTGTTAACATTTAATCTACACAAACAGTAAATGCATACTTACTTCTTTTTCAAATTTGGAATTGGATTAATAGTATTTGAACAAGATATTTGTTGATTAAGTTTAGATTTGGCAACATCTTTGACAATAAATGCGTATAAACAAAAGAAATAATCACATAAGACATTAAAACATAAAATTAAAATCACGATGGGGTTTTGTGGAGATTGTAGTGGTTCTTAATAGTTAAATTCACGAGTCGATTGAAGCTAGACCATCATGGAAAACCTGTAAGCACTGGACGGACGTTTAGTACTAGTATGAGACTCCTCAGCACTGAGTATCCACGATCCCTCTCACAGGACTCAAACCCAGGACCTTTGGCCTCGCGGGTGAACAAATAATCTATAGACCGAAGGTCCTGAGTTCGAATCCCTCGAGCGGTATTCTGGACACTCACTGCTGAAGAGTCCCATACTAGGACGAAACGGTTATCCAATACAGTTGCGGTCACGCTACCAGGTCGTTAAGGCCAACACTAATCCAACTTCCTTTTCAGGTTCGTCAAGAAATACCCTTCCATGGTGTGGGCAGCCGAGTAGTGACATCAGCCCTCATACCCGGTAACAGCACACCAGATTGTACATACGCTAATGTAAACTGATGAAATTTCAGTCAAAATATCAAAAATCGGTTTTCAATGGTCGTTTAATATAGATCGACTCATGAATTCAACTGTGTAAATTACTAGAATCTCCAAAAATCCTCATACTGATAAAAATGGGATAATTTAAATCACTACAAATTAAACTAAAACTTGAAATTGTTAGAATATGACTTAAGAATGAACCAATTATAGTTGAGAAAGCAATGAATTGTATAACAAGAAGTGGAATCACCTTTGTACATTGCTTTTAAGAAATCTATTGGAGTTACTTAACAGATTCAAGAAGATGGACAGTCCGGATGAATATATACGTCATTATTTTTCCTACTTGAAGGTAGGGTAACCTGTATAAGATGCTTTTTACATTTTTAATGTTAAGGGTCTGGATTTTTCAAAGGTAGAAATAGATTATGATACATTGGATCAATTAGACATTGATAGTGACTGAGATCTAACTTCTTTCTCTGGGGAACGAGATGCATATCATTAGTTGAATATGTAGCTTAAAGTTCTAAGGAAGAATTACATTATATATACATATATGAGTGTACAGCTGTCTCTCAATTCGGATACCTAAGGAGCCGGTTGCGCTAGTGTATCCAATATCGGAGTTAACCAGAAAAATTGCTTCACCAACTAAGAACGGCCATGCACCATCACCCACCGAATCAAGAAAGGGCTACCAATCTGTCAATCCTCACAGTGTCCAGGCCGGGTGAGTTTTGTCGTGCTGAGTCGAATTAAACTGCAGGCTCTACTTCTGGTGGTGTCCTTCTGTCAATTCCTTTAAGTTTCAGCTTCGCAACCATACTCACTCTGGAGCCCAGAGACTTAAAGGTTTCCCGGGGACTGCCCGCGATGTCAATCATAGAACAAACGCTGATCGTCAGTTTGCATCGTTTATGGTCACAACTACGACGGTATCTGGTCGTCTTCGAAACTCGGACTTTTGCTCCTGATCAATGAAAACATTCGGTCTGAGCACCTGGGTAGTATCACAGCTCACACACAAATCAATTGACTTGTGTGGCGCATATGTATTCGGTACCCTTTTAAACTAATATTTATGTGTTCAAATAAATAAATGAAATAAACAGCGTATCCCAAACCGCACAATACAACAATTCGAAACTATACTTCACTAAAAAAATACTGGTTTCGTAGCAGATGCTTACAGATCGATGAAAATTTAACACTTAATGACGATAAGTTATTGAACGAGGGATCATACGAGTAGTCAAGCCTGAATAACAGTTGGGAATTCGTCATCTTATTTTGTACTACTAACATATGTGTTATAACTTGTGAACCTGTGTGCCATGTAGATTGGATAATTCAACGATACCGCCAATCAAAGAGCAGCGAATTATCGATCGGACTAGTGACTCATAAAAACCGTGCGAGCAGCCTAGAGTCCTGTTTGGTCCTGCTTTCCGCCTAATCCAGCCAATTGTATCCAGAACACCAATCCCAGCCTCTGTAATATGAATCATTTATTTTCAAACATACGGGGTTTATGTACCAACCAGACAGACCACATCGTACCAATAAAGTAGGAAGCAACATTTATACAAGATTTGGCCAAATGTGTCTGTGAATGTGGGAGGTAGTAATTAATGGACAGGGCATAATTCAAGAATAGTAAATTGTATAATACTAGTTCATAAGTTAAAATAAAGCTCATAATAAGAAGGAAATAAATATGTATAGTTTAGTCATTTAACAATTATACGAAGAAAATATACGCATAGTATTGGTCCATAAATGGATCCCGAAAGTTACCATTCATTATTCTTATCGGGATATAACAATATGCTGTCTCACTAACCCGTGAAGCAAACATATTGTAATCATCTGTTTAAATCATTCTATTGTGTACATACTCTTATCTTAACATGAAACTCTATAATTTATCCTACTTTTGCTTACTAAACTATTATTCGGGTACAACGATCTAAATATTCAATATTTGGCTTCGATAAAACTAGTTGAATTTGCCAGATCGAATTTTTTAAATAGAAATTCGGTATTTATTTGAAATCACGAACCGGTCCAAGTTAGACAACCATTGAAAATCTGGGAGCACTAGACGGTCTTTTCACACCATTATAGGACTCCTCAACAGTGCCTATCCGCGACTTCTAATCCGAGTACTCAACCATAAACCTTCGATCTAACATGCAAACACCTCACCCCCAAACCAGTGAGCCGATATACAGTTATGTAGGAGTTTAACTTCAACCAACATACAATATTAGGCGACCATTTCCTATTATCTTCGGTGAATACCCTCTTCATATCTGAAATAATTCAATTTCACTGGTCACGACTTCTCTATAGAATCCCAGAAGTTTCTTCATGATTCTATTCACTAGTGAGAACATGATAACTGTCAATATGGAGGATTTGAGAACTGTTGAAACTAGGTACTTAGCATAAGTCTTGGCCAAGTTTAAGCATGATGGTTAACATTATTATCAGGGGATATTAAAAAATTTTAAATTGACATACTGGATTTTTCTTTTCCAGGTGAAGTGGACTTATCTTTTCTATGAAAAAAAGTAGATGAGAAAAAAAAAGGAGAAAATTTAATGAAACACTGTAACAGACAAGAGTATTATATCGATCAATATGAGCTTATTGTTAATACTTAACTACTAAAGTATCGATAAGCGATTGATTCAAATGTAAAGTTACAAATCACTGTCAAGGAATGGTAAGAAACGAATCGAAAAGAACTAAGTATTCGCTTAGATTACTAACAAGTTACTAAGTAATTGGTATCAGTCACGTGAGTGTTTGAAATGTAAAGGTACCAGGCTCGAATCTTAGTGTGAATATCAACACTAGGATCAAGATACACTTAACTGAAGAAACCCATATAAAATGAAATGCGCGTCATGTATCCCAGTGCAAGACATACATCATCAGTCCTCTCTTTGTAGAAAAAATAACTGCAAACTTTGTGTATTACCGAGACTAATCAACCATGTGTTATACATGTTATTACTGATACTAATAAAAAGAGAACTTAGTTGTTAATCAGCTTTAAGTAAAAACAACCCCCCTTCAAAAAAAAGCGAAACTCTGATTTATGGACGAGTCGATCAGAAGGGTTTGGGGGATTTCAAGGTCACAGCGCTGATTTCAGTACCTTATGCTCACATACGATCGGTTTACAGCGGATTGTAGAGAGAATTGGATAATTGAGCGACTACAATAAATGGGACTACTAAGACGTTTCTTAATTTGTGATTGTGGTAATCATATAACTTGTGCAGACTAACGTGATGATGTTGCCTTTTGATGTGATATATATATTAGAGGAAGAAGTCTGCTAGAATATGGTTTGTCGCTCGATTCAGATCGAGACTAAAGCAAATTGCGAACTGGATAATAAAAGTACCAGTAACAGTGACGAATTTTCGAAACATGTAAAAGAAGGGTATCCACTTCAATTCTTTAGTTTTGTATAACTTATTTTCACTCTATACTAACCGTTTTCTGATTGGCTAGTGTTTCTCAAGGTCACTTAGGTCTCGTTCAAGGGTCATCCATATATTATGGTCTCTCCAGATAGGCACTTAAGATCACGAACAGACTTAGATAGCTGTTTTGTCTTATAAAAGTACTCGTCAGTAGTGTCTATTCACGACCTCACCAAAAGGAGTCGAGGCAATGTCCTTCAGGTCACTCATTGAATGTCTAGTCTTTAGATCACTGAGTTAGTATCCAATGATTTACATGTATAAACTCAATCAATTTGTGATATTGCGATACCATATTTCATTGTCTTCGGTAGGCAACTGCCTCTTATTTGATACAGTTAACCTCCACTGATCATTGTTTCTCACCAGAACTCTAAGAATTACCTCATAATCCCGAATGGGGTTGTGGTTACAGATGACAGAGGAAACCCATAGGAGGGCGACATGAATGCTCAGTGCTTCTTGATTTTTCATAGATGTCAAACTTATGTCATTTTATGACCCTAATAACATTGAACAATTTCAACAAAGGCACATACTGAAAATAAACACTAGAATTAGAGGAAAATTTTAAGTTAACAAACAAGGTGCTTGTAAACTCACTGAATCAGTGGCTCTGAATTGCGACGTAACAACGAAGCCGATGATGCGTCTAAAATAAATAAATACAACTTCAAAGGAAAGTTGAACCCGGTGATTGACTTTTTTTTTGTAAAGTATCTACGTTGATGACTGATGAAATATACCACAAAATAATTGACTAGTAAAATTTGTACCACGGTTAATTACTGCTTTGCTCGTGGCCTGAACGTCTTAAGTCCGAATCTTAGCAAGGTCATAGATATACACTTGTATAGAATGGCTTTCTACGACAAAAATGGTTATCTTTAGAAGTTCCTGGTTTTCAATTCGTTTAAGATGTGAACCATAAGATTCACAGAAATTCAAAAATCACTTAGACTAAGAACAAAGTCAGATGTTCAATGTCAAATTTGGCACACAAAATTTATGATGGTATGGGATATTTGGTGTAGATGACACATTGGCACCTGAAACCAAAAATACTGGGTTCGAATCCCAGTGTTATAATTTCCCTTATAATCACCCAGCTACTCCTGTTGCTTAATATTCTTCAACAATAATTCACTTGACAAATCCCCAAATAAGAACACGGTTGAACAGGAACGAAATCATATTTGAAATAACAAGGGTAGATGGAAGTAAGAAACACAATAAGAAAAACGTTTTATATTTATAGTTTTTACATGCGACGATTTTAGAGTCTGCTTCAAGTATCCACTAACGCTGATTGGGTAAGAAATAGCCAATCACCGTACCGTAACGCAATCCTGTACGGAACATACTTTAATCCAATCTATATCTCTTTAACACTCGGAGAGGAAAATCAACTTTGCAATGTAGGTACAAATCTAATTCTTAAATCTCGAATGTATGAAATACATATCCTGGATTCCATAACTAGTTACATTACATCTATACTATGAAAACTAGTACTTATCTCGTATTCAACTACATTTTCCATATTTATTTATTTATTTAAACACATAAATATTGGCACAAGAGGCACCAAGTAGATATGTACCACATAAATCATTCGATTTGTGTGAGGCCTAGGTACTCCCCGGATGTTCAAACAGAAGCACATGGTTTTCTTAGGGGGCCACAACACGAGCCTTTGACCCAAAAGCTTAATCCACAAGGCAGTGGAGCAACATTAGCAGATGCAGTTCTATGGTAGCCGGTCACCAACAATTGGTCCATAAACCATTTGTTCTCTCAGGATCCTGGAGCCCATGTTCACCAGTGACTTGGAATGAGGGTTTTCCGACTCCCCTAGATGGATTCACCAACCCAGTTAAAGCACCGGACATTAGCTTTCCGTCCTCTCAAATTCGTAAACAATGCCCCGGCTAAGAGAAGGTAGTGAGTAGAACTTCCCTGGTTGGGGTTGTATGCACGTGGCCATGTGAGAGCATTTGGAGATGGAGAGCTGACTCTCCTCACTCTCGGCCGTACCAGAGCATTCGGGGACACATTTTCCATATCATGAATATACACAAATTAAAGAAAAAAAGAATAATTCACATTTACAAACCATTAGACGGCAATAAACAATTGAGAATATTTTCAGCACTAATTATTGGTAAACTACATCTTGGACTACAACGACGTAATAATATACATATTTGTATTAGAATTTTAATTGGATCAGAATATATTCGATATTGTTTATGAATTCTATTTGGATCATTATCAAAGATGTACGACTTATCAATTTCAAGTTGATTCACATTTCTACAGATAGTTTTATAAGAAGATAAAGTTGATGATGATGACGATGCATCTGCTGCTGTTGCTGCTGCTGATGATGATGGCGATTTGATAGTCGATGAAATTGAAGATGAACACGTTGACAAATCAATATTCTTTTTATTAGAATATACATTTTCTATATGTAACCTTTTATTTATTAATGATGAATAGGTTCTATCAACAGTATCCATGATTGTTGTTGTTGTTGTTGTTGTTGCTAAGCGTGTTTTACAATGTAATTGATTATATTGATTAATATTTGGATTTATTTGTTCATTATGATGAGTAGATTTTATAGTTTTATACTGTGAAATAATTTTTGATAAGATAACATGTTTAGTTCGATTAAGTGGATCAGGTCCTATATAACCAATACAAATAGCATATAATGTATGAAATCCATCAGATTTCATTAAAGCTTTACGTCCAGAATCTAAATAGAAAGATATAGGATAAAAGAAACAATAGTAAGATCATATCTAGAATGAATTATACATGACATTTATCATTCATATCAGAAGGGGTTTTGTGGGTATTATAGTAAGTTTAATGATTGAGATCATGAGTCAGTTGAAGTTAGATCACCATGGAAAATCTTGAAACACTGGACAGTTGAATTTGGACATTACCATTGTTGGATGCCGGCCAATTCAGGGGTCTAGAGGTTAAGCGTTCACGTGCGAGACCGATAGGTTCTGGGTTCGAATCTTGAGAAGCAGGATAGTGGATACGCACTGCTGAGGAGTCCCACAATAAGACAAAATGGTCGTCCAATGCTTCGAGGTTTACCATGGTGGTCTAGCTTCAATTAACTCATTTATGGTTCAGTAGAGAAAACAATAAATGTGCTGTTTCTCATATTGATTTGTCATTAATGAATTTCAACACAAAATATCGTATATCGCTAGCGTTAGATGATAGTAGATCTGAGTAAATCTAGGTTTCATGTTCATTGAGATTTGTCAGCATAATATACACGTAATTCTGATGCTTACTAGAAGATTTGAACTTCGTTTATACTGTTTTACCATTTGACAAGCTTTCAATGAGCTATTTAGACCGTGGATAAACTCCTGTAGAACTAGGATTTTAACAATTGACTAATCATTGAATAGTGAACAATGGTATGTTTGTCTAATCCCTTAATAGTGACTACATTATATCAATAAAGTTTCAATGTGGTCACTAGTTCCCTTAAAATTTCAAATCAACTCTACTGACGTGTATCAGCTAACATGAAATTGTAGTACACAGTTTCTTATAGCCTAATGCACGCGATTCCAAATCACTGAGACTATTGTCCACATTGCAATTTGATTAATAAAATTCTATCATTACTGAAAAACTAGATAAAAACATCACTACTTAATAACCAGTCAATTACACATAAAGTATAGAGGAAACTCTTCTCATCTTTGGAATTTATATCGTGAACCTTCAGTGTGGAGTTTTTTAAGCCATCCATTATCAGTAAGTAAGTCAACATATATTAAGTATTTAGAATAGTGAAATTCTAAATAAATGTAAAAAAATATATAATACAATACAGAGCTCCGTCTGGAGCCTGTTTGAGGCTACTTCCGGTCCTATGTCCGGATAAAGGAGGGTTAGGTATGAGGTTAGCGACCCGATCCTGTAGAAAGTTAACTCGTAAAAAAAACGCTCACACTAAACGTTATCAGGTGTTACACTAATTAATTTATCATTATTCCGGTACGATGAAAGATACATCGACAGTTAATAGGTTCAATGAAAGCTTATAATTAAAATAATATGTACGTCATAACTATAAAATGAAAAGATATAATCGGTCGTACAAAGATCAAGTCACGACACTATAGGTTATCGTTGAACAATCAATTGAATGGAACTAGTCACTATACATAAACTTTATTGACTATGAGAAAGCATTTGATAATGTGGATAGGAGGATGTTATGGTACCTTTTCCGACACTATGGTGTACCTGAGAAAATTGTCAATATCATCAGGAATTTGTACGACGGACTACACAGTAAAGTCGTGAATGAAAAACAGACAACAGATGCATTCCAAGTGAGGACCGGAGTCAGACAAGGTTGCTCACTCTCTCTCTCTCTCTTTCTTCTGGTGGTTGATTGGATTGTGAGGACCTCAACATCGGAAGGGAAGCACGGAATACAGTGTACAGCTTGCATGCAACTAAATGGTTTAGATTTCGCAAATGACTCAGCTAGTCTACGACAGGTAACATGTATAGGTAAGCAAGTAATAAGAATTTTAAATGTTTTACCTTCTGTGAATATTTGATTCCATCTAACAGCATCATCTCAGTAGTTCTTAATAAAGTCTTCTGAAGCAGTCTATCACAATTATATTTCATTTATAATTCTAACCAATATTTCTAATACTAAAGTGTATACAATGACTTAGTAAGCGTAATGTATGATTCATTGGCGGGATTATTATTTATGGATGAATCAGTTAGATTGAAGTTAGCAAGTCTTCGATTTTAGCATGAAATTCATTCATCCACATGGTTAAATCATATTTTAGCCTCATAGTTGATGTCAATTCATGATGAAAACTTTAATTCTAGTTCCTAACCCTAACAGGTGGTTTTCTTAGGGGGCCACAACCCGAGTCTTTGACCTAAAGGCTTAATCCACAAGGCAGTGGAGCATGGTAGCCGGTCACCAACAATTGGTTCATACAACATTTGTTTCCTTAAGATCCTGGAGTCCATATACACTATTGGTTTGGAATAAGAGTTTTCCAACACCCCTAAGTGGATCCTAGTAACTCTAGTGAGTAGTTAAATTACATCAAGTTCACTTAAACGTTGTTCAAACGTCATTTATAAACTATAATCTCATCGACTCATTAACTTGAATGAATATAAAAGCTTAAAACCGGTAAATTCTATTTGATACTTTATCATATCAATAATGATCTGATAGACATATACTAAAACACTTTGATCTTTCATATAATGTTGTAAAATGTTACACACTTTCTATATTGACGAAATAATCTCTTCGGCTCTCACTACTGACTGATATAAGTAGTAAGGTGAATATGGTAGACAGTAAACCTGCAAAAGAAACTATCATACAGATATACATATACATACACCCCCCCCCCAAAAAAAGCAATGATTAAACTTGAAATTACTTATTTCTGTCAATAGTTTTAAACAACTCAACAAGCTTTTTTGTAGATCAATCCAACGCCATTGTAAATCACATCGATGTATATCAAGGAATAAATCCAAAAGTAATGGGACGGCATTATTATTGTTAGCACGTACAGCGTTATTTTCTGTGGAGGAAAAAAACAACAACATTGTAGTGTGTAATTATTGTTACTACTATTTAATCATTTGAATAATTAAAATTAACATATGGAATGCTAGGCCTCCATTTTGAATATTTACTACTTGTCTTATGGTATGTGCTACTACTGATGTCGACAGATATAAGTAGTATTGTAGTGAACAAGAACACAAGTGGGGACAATCGAATGTGTTTAAATACATTACAGAATCTCTTACCAAAATCTGAGAACCATACAGTAAATACTTCATTTGCGAAATGCCCATGAATTGTCTCTGACTTCATTGTTCTTTCGTTTCCACATTAATCGTTGTATGTTCTCGATCCCTTTTCTTTGATCTGCCTAACGTTGTGCTGTCAGGTATTTCACTTTCGACTGGTGATACATACTAATTATGTCTTTCGATATTAGTAGCACACACATCACACATGTCCCCCCTTTAAAACAGTCGTTCTTGTGGTGGTTCTGCTCGCCATGTCACTTTTTTCTTTTCTGAAGTCTGTGAGACACTTTGTCAAAATGTCGAGTCTGTGGCCCGTTGACCTTCATAGATTCTTCGACCTACCGGGCTATCTACATCCGACGTCCACACAGCAGTCGCATGTCCAACCGCTTTTCTTCGTCGATATCACCCGCTACAGCCAACGCCGCCCCGCCAGTTCACTACAGTATGAAAGAACATTGTACTGAACTGGCTTCTGTCGGTCCACCACAATTCCCAGATTGGGGTCCTAGAGATGGTGCAACACAGTGGCTAGAGGTGCTTACAGATATGGCTCAGAATAGAAGCCAGTGGCAATCCTGCTGTAACCTTATTATACTTTCTTCATAAAAAGAAAAGATATGACTTCTTTAACTGGAAGAATCCTCTCTGTTGGTTACCGTCCCCCCTTTTCTTATACGTGCGATACATTCTTCATCTCTTCCCATTTTCATTGTTATTATGTGGTGCATATGTAAGTGTTCAAATAAATAAATAATAAATAATTGTTTGATAGTTAAATGGTTTGGGTTAGAACTTAGCGATCGTGTCGGTTCCCTTGGTAACTGCAACTTACAGTGACAAGATCGAATAATTGGTACATTGAACATCATCATTTTTACTTCACCATGTCAACAAAAATTACTTGTCTGTGATTACTTGAAATGTTTTGAACAGTATATAAAGGTATTTCGACTTCACGTTATACGGTGTATTTTAATTACATGGAAGAACCTGAAAATATTACGTCCTCAGCTCTGATTGGTTCGTCTCTAAACTACACTCATATCTTTTCATGTATTGAAAAAAAATATTTTCTTTTAACTCGAAATTGATTGACCCGTAAATTCTATTCGAGACCAGCATTATCAATCAGTACTATTATGGACAAGGAATGGTGAATGTATTTTTGATAGGCTGGGGGAGGGGTACTCAATATATATTATATGTTTATGCTCACAAGCCAACTCCACAAGGTTGTAGTGTTAGTCATCATGTTAAGCCCATAGAATTTATTCTAACTTCTGGACAGACCAATTTATTCATCCTTCTTCAGTTACATTTTGACCTTTTCAGTTATCCACTTATCAATCTTGGACTGTACTTATTTGAGCGTATGTGTGTTCACTTCTTATCCTATTCATCACATGTCTGTAACTTAATTTCGTGTGACTATAAATATTGATTAACGCTTGATTAGATCGAGTTGGCTTCCATGCATTCTCCACCGTGCATCATTTTACTTCATCCCTCTCATTTCCTGTCCAGATCAGTAAATATGTATTCAAAAATCCATTCTCGTATTCGGCTTATGCATTTCCGTTATTCACTAACGTGAGTTAAGTCGATAATTATATATGAGAATAGCCAGCATGTATATTGTGACAACAATCATTCATACGATCACATTGGAGTCAGAATATAGTCTCACAGTTTGATCGATTTTTTTCATCTCTGACGGTGGATTACATTTTCTGTTATTTATCTGATACTTAGGTAGTTTATCAAAGTATGTATCCTGTAAAAACATTGAATGTTGCATTGTTAAGTGACGATCAAGTTGGAGTATGTTCATTAGTCCATTTTCCAACCAATCAGCATTAGCGGACGAATCTTTAAAAAAATTAGATTTCCTTATATACATTTTCGTTCTAGTATAACAGGACTCCTCAGTAGTGCACCATAGATTTTCAATTAAAAATAGAAATATAGAACTATAGATCGATTGAAGCCAGACATTGACATCGTTCGATGCTGGCTCAGTGGTCTAGAAGCTAAGTGTTGTTTCGCGAAACCGAAAGTACTACTTTCGAGTCTCGCATACGAGGACGTCAGTGCGCGCAGCTGAGGAGTCCCATACTAAGATGAAACGGTCATCTATTGCTTCCATGTTTGAAATGATGGCCTAAGCTTAGATCGATTTATGATTTCAACTGTTAAAATTCTATATAGTTTTAAGCTTATTACACATAATTAGACTTACTATATTTAGTAAGATAATATAATGTATTCACTAGAAGACGAAGTAAATGAATATTACGCTTTACACCAATAGCAATCAATGTAGGCTTAGATGTAATTAATGATATAATTGAATTCATTAAATCAGGATTATTATGTAAACCATATTCTGGTAATAATTTAAGAAATGATTGATTTTCATTATGATCAAGAGATTTCACTAATCCTTTCATCAATGATGCCATGACAACTATAATATATCTCACTGGACTATTATTCATAATCAATTCATTTTCATTTATATTGTAATCATTCATTGAGTTTTTAGTTATTTTTATAAAATTCTGTTCAGGAATATCAGTTGGTGACACGGTTGTCTTTCTTCTTGTTACCGTTGTGGTTGTTGCTGGCGGCGGTGGTGGTGTTGTTGCTGCGGACGATGAGGATAATAATGAATTCATAATAGATGATGTACGATATATATAAAGTCCAGATAATAAATTAATTAATTGTATTAAAAGTTTTACAACACCATTACGTCCTAATAAATATGAATTTGTTTTACCATTATCTGATATATATAAATAAATCATATGTAAAATAATATTTAAATTATGTTGCATAATGGATGAAACTGTTGGCATAGTTACATAATGATAATGATGGGTAGGATGACGATGATTATGTAACATTTCATTGATAGTATGAAGATGTTTAATATTATTTTGAAAAGAATTTGAATTCATTGTTGAATAACAGAAATTGAAATTGGATAGATTCTTTAATTGTTTATAAAAATTAGGAGTTGTACGTATGGATGAATTTAATAGAGCAACCTATAAATATATAAATACATTAGATTATGGTCTTGAGTGCTGTTACAGTTACGAGGGCGGTTATCACTTCCCGGTTGCCCACACCGTGGAAGGATTCTTTTGGAGGTACCTGAAAAGGAAATTGGATTAGAGGTGGTCTTAGTGACCTGGGAGCGTGACCGCAGTGCCCAAGAGACAACTGCTTGATGCCGATCACACACGACCTTTTTATGGGTAATTTTTGTGTTAGCTCCGTACTTGTTGAGACCTTACCGCCCGAGACGGATATCCGTGGGATAAGGCAGGGTGTGCGTTTTTAAGGTCGACCTTTTCTAACCCTACTACTCTTTGTGGGAAGGCAGCATCGCTGCCATGATTGTTGTCAGAAGGAAACACCTTACTACTGTCACACCTCTATACAGTCAACAGTACGACTTTGTCTTCGGACCTTAGGTTTGTTGCTTTTAGTCTTACCGCTCTTCAACTGACCTGTCTGACATGGTAGGACCTTGGGGAACGGTTGTTCCAGCCAGTATAGATCGGTTGCTTCATCACGATAGGCTAGCCCGACCACCACGTCAAGGTAGCAACAACGGTTGGGAAAACATTAGATTAGAAATAAGACATAATAAATGTGAAGACTGAGATACTGTCTGGATGCCCAAACCGAAGCAGATAGTTTCCTTAGAGGGTCACTCCCAGAACCATTGACTTAGAGGTCTAATCCACAAGGCAGTAGAGCAACGTCATGGGATGTAATCCCATGATAGTCGGTCACCAACAATAGTTCCACAAACCATTTGTTTCTTCAGGATCCTGGAGCCCATGTGTATTAGTGATTTGGAATGAGGGTTTTCCAACTCCCCTGGGTGGATCCTCCATATCCATCAACGCGGTTAAAGCACTAAACACTCGCTTTTAGTCCTTTCAATTTTGTGAACAGCACCCGTTGTACGAGAAGACATGGCCATGTGAGAGCGTTTGGAGACAGAGAGATCGGACCCTCCTCACCCTCGGCCGTACCAGGGCATTTGGGGGCCTATCAAAAAATTGGCAGACCTGACTCATAAAATTGAACCAATCAGTAAAAGGCAGGTCACTTCAATGTCACAGAGTGTATACCAGAACACAATATTGTCTTTCGACCAAAAGGAATTTATTTCAATAATGAAAATATTATTGGAAACTTAAGCTTAGGTAAGGAATAAGCGATAGGCTTTAAGATTACGAGTTTAGATTTTGTTTTTAAGGTTAGTATTTAAAGCTAGGAACATCATGTATAAACGACTTTTGAATGATTGTAAAGTGGCCTTGAGAAACGTCAATCACTTACCAGGGTCAAAAGAGAGTTACTAGTTAGTGTGAGGACTTAGGACCAGATGTAAGAGTTAAGAGTAAGGGTCTTCATCACAAAATGACATCAGCCATAATGCCAAAATGTTACTTATCCATACAGATGAACGAGTTTCATGCAGAAATCCAAAAATTTCTATCTTAAATCTAATTGGTTCATCTATAGATTTTAACTCTGCTACTTTTTAATTAGAATATAATTGTTTAGGGCTAGATATTGGATCAAGAATTAAGGTACATATATAAAGTAAGCATGTTATCTAAACCAAATTGTAAAATTTGACAATTTTAACTGTAATATTGATTTCTACATCCCAATCTTAACTGCAACACACCTAAAATTCTAATCTTCAACACTAAATCCTAAACCTAGTATTTGTTATTGGCCGGATGATCTCATGTCATCCACGTTCACAGTCAGCGAGGTTATCAGTGAGATATTCGGGTCGCGACTGACCTTATGAGGGACTAGAACCTATTTCCAGAAAGTCAGTCACGTCCTGAATAGCTCAGTGGTAACGTCTCAGACTGTGAAGTTGGGTGATATGGTATCGAATCCACCAGGGAGTATCAATCCCATAAATTTTACAGACACACCTTACTGACGAATGTTGAATAGAATGAAACCCTGCTTCAAGGTTTCCTGCAGACTACTTTCGACCACCAATTTACATCTTAACATAGCTCACGCGATATCATGTCACCTAGAATAGTGTCCACATTGCAAATTGATCTGTAGAACTCGATGAGCACTAAGAAAGACTTGACATTGGTCACTACCTAACAATCAATCAGTTATAAACCCATTCGTATTAGAATAATCTCGATCGCTCGTGAATGGAAAATATTCTAGGTTCAAAGAGAATTATTTCTTAATCGTTTTTATTCAGGTTTAATGGTGAGAATATCTGCTTATCACTTAATTCAAGAATTAAATATTGAGTTGGGTTTTGGTCAATATAAGATTTCCATTTAATGCCAATAAACCCCAGGATGACTTTATTTCAAAAGAACCAATAAAACACTAGCAACAGTACATCTTTTCTAAATAACTTATGATGAAGTAGACATAATAAGCCAATCCGCATAGGATGCACATAAGCTAAGACTGATAACACTTTCATCCTGAGTATCCGGAATGTATAATCCAAGCCCTTTCTAATGAACATACAAACATTATATTCACTGAGTAGGCTGATATGTAACTGAACTTAGTAGAGCACTGAACAATTCATTGCGAGTTTGGAGTGAAATACACTAGGTTTGAGCCCCAATTTGGACACTGACACTGAAAGGCAGATAAATCCAACCGACCAGTCCGAAACTGGACAAAACATGCGTCCTATATTATACTGCAATTCATGGTCAATCTCTTAAATGTAAGTAGTCCTTTTTAATTATTAACGATTATAAAATATATAAATATGAAACAGGTAAAACAAAATAATTTGTACTAACTTGAATTCTTAGAAGATGGATTGTAATTGGAATACAATGGCTCACTCTTGCTCGAATGCCAAAACGTTTATCCATCGGACCAAGACGACAGAGTAACTAAAGTTTCATAAAAATTGTTCATTTCAGCGCATTATGGTTGTTAATAGGACATGTTATCATTTTGTAACTAAATTAAGATAATTAACTAATTAAATAAAGAAAAACGATCAATATGTGTACTTAACAAACATGATGGTATATTTGGAAGAGCTTGAAAACATAGTGTAATACAATGTACAGGTTTTTGAGTCACTTAGAACTAGTGGACAGATTGCAAACTAATCAACAGGATTCGATTAACACTAAACTACTAGACAAACATAACATTTAGTAATCAAACAGTTGTAACTATTTCTCAATTCTACAGGAGGTCAATCGTGACCCAGATAGGTCAGTGGCAATGCTTCAAACTGTAAAACTGGATGAGGTAGATAAAAATCTAATAAGGAATACTAGTACCCTCAATGTATTCAAAAACAATACTGACAGAAGAGTTCGGGTGATTTTATTCTTTTCAAAACAAGTACAGAAATATGAAAGATGTGTATATAGTTAATTCATGCATTCACGAGAATTTTCTGATTATGACATCGAATACTACGCTACTACTAATTCTCACTTTAATAAAAGACTTCATTTAATAAAAATTTCTAATAGAACAGGACAATACGTAATAATACACCAGTCACTGAATCTTACGTTGAAAAGATAAGAATGCCTTCAATAAAATCAAATGTACCAGTCACGAACAAAATAAGGGTTAATAAACATATTATAAACTTAAATATGATTTTTGTTAGTAAAATGATATGATGAATAACTACTTATGTAGGTATGTGTGACGGCTAGAAAGTGAAGTACAAAAGGATGTCTGAATGCCGTTAAAAGTTTTACAGATTTAGTCCTATTAAGCTTTATTCGGTTTCTATAAATATAAAAACAAATGAACGCAAAAACATCATTTTGACAAGAACGTTAATACGTCTATTAAGCATAGCAGTTAGATGGAATCTGGGATTATGCTGACTGCAAGCAATTGCAAAAGGATTGGCTTTAAATGTATTTTTTTCTAATTTAAAAATGAAACACGACAGGACTGAATAGTTTTTCGAACTACAATTTTGTGTTTCGTTAATTAATTGCTATCCGGCGACTAACTCATTGTCATACCATCTTCATTAGCGGTTGGTCTTATGAGTTAAGTCTACTGACCAAAGTTTCTATTTCGTAGCGTAAGCGCATATAATTTACTGATTGTATTTTCACATAAAAATATTGTTAAAAAAGCCCTTTGTTGATCTAACTAGGTTTCCTGGTAATAATATTAAATTAAAATAATAGCTGAAGTTACTACATTTAACCAAGGATATTTTAAAAACCACTAATACATAACATAAAAAAATCCCACCTGATGTATTTTTAATAAAAGTTCAACATTTGGAGTTTCTTCAGAGTATTCCATGTAAAGAGCTTGAAACAGAGCTCTAGTAATCCCTTTTTGTATTAACATTGTGATCCGGCATTGGGGCGCTTAAGAACAAAATACGTTTTTCATAACAAGATAATCATTGTTTGAAAAATCGAACATTATTATTTTATGGCAAAAGCATTGAATATACCACATTATTCATTAGCAATTAAATAGTTCGATCATAGGTTTAATCGGTTTGCGATATTATCCATAAGTAATGAGTACGCATCTATTTATAGTCAATCATTCTTCTGCAAGATAAGCTGGATATTTCTGCAGTAAATTCATGATATTTTAAGAAGTCAACGAAATCACTGTGTCCCAATTCGATTCGACAAAATAGACGTGCTCTTCAAAGAACATGACAGCACTAAGTTCAACATTATATAAATTAAAGGCATATATCACCGGAGAGTTTTGAGCTGGATTAGACTTACTAAACGGTGTTCACCAGTTTATGACAATCTTTGAGCAGACATCAATTGATATTTATTTGTTATTTAATCCTTTAAATAAATTTGTCATTTAGCATGTTACCGACTAACTGGACAGTATTCAAGCAAATTGAGAATAAATAACTTTAAATGGTGGCTAATACAAACCCCGATATCCAGCAAAAATATTAAAATCTATGTATGTCTGAACAAAAGTTGATATATTTGTTACATGAAGATTTATAGTGAAGCGAAAAACTACTGAAAACACGCTGTTTAGAGAATGAAACTTAAACAAGTCACAATCATCTTACACTGAAAATGACCAGTTGATCTGAGAAATCTTGGTAACTTGATTAGAGTGCAACCGCATACTACTATTGATTTAAATATTTAGCAAGTGAAATATTTGAGAATGTTTTCCTTCTAGAACAAAACCCACAGCTAACCATAAAGCATGCAACATAGGTCATTTTCGTGACAACATAACGTAGTTTTTTTGTCCCAGTTGTAGTTCCTCAGTCTGGATAGGGTGTTACTAAGTTCTATAGTACTGTTTATCAGCTTGCGTGGAAGTGGATTAAAAGCAGACGTTAATATGTATCATTCATTTATTTATTTGAACAAATAAATATTGGTACAAGAGGGCACCAAATGTATATGCGCCAAACAGTATGTATAGTAGAAATTGATGGTTCACTCAGCTAAAAAAACGCTAGTGAACAGAAGACTGTAGAAACGGTGTCTTTCATAAGCGTACAAAAAACATGTATATGAGACTACTAAAGAGTGGAACGAAGCAGCTTTCACATGACTGAATAATTAACATGAAACTGGAAAGTTATGAACCCACAAATCTTGAGTCATAAGGAATGGAAGATATGGATGCATAATATCAATTATATGGTAAACTGAGACTGACAAAATAACCCATGTGTGGAAAACAGTTTATATGATAAGGAATCCACTGTGAAAATATCTCATTCACCAAGTATTTTGGTATGGACCACACAGTAAGTATAAAGAGTATCGAAACATAATCGCTGTCCAAACTAAACGAAATAAACGGGAATGAGGTGCATAAAAAATCAGGTATTAAAAAAAGGAGTAGGAGCTTTGACGACACTTATCATAAAATGCAAACCTGCCAAAAATTAAATAATCGATACTCGTTTCCATAAGCATGAAAATGTTCAGCCCACTTTTAGCAGTTTGTCCTGCAAAATATCAAACTTACTTGATTTTTTCACCAATTTGGAAAGAACCAGTACAATCTGTGTCCTAAGGACCCTGTCGTTGAGAAACTAAGAATAACGGTAATATTGGTATGATACTTGAAGTGCGAAGAAAAAGTCGCTAACGTAAGATTCATGTTCAAAGAGCACTTTCCGACACTTGTCTATAGTTAGGATAATAAATAATACGCACAAAATAATGTCACAATACTCGAAGATAACAGTGAGCTGATTTTTTTAACGTTCGCTCTCAAAAACTGCAAATCCTCCTCCTTACATTTGACAGCATTTACCTCTGAGCAGTAAGAGGCAAACAAACTCATATAACCTCTCAGCCTTTCTTCCATAATTATGTTAAGAAGTCAAACACTCGGTTGACACCATCTCAAAACTCTGCCCCAACTACGACCTGAGACTTTGAAGAACTAAAACAAACCTTTTAAGTTCTTATGAAGGGACTAATAAAACTTTGTTCACTGCAGATAATCAGCTTCAAAAGAAGTGAAAAATTGCATTCTTTAGAGTTTATTACTGTTTAGAGATATAACATATGCGAAAAAATTTTTATAGTTTGTCAACGGTACCCGTCAAATGGTTCAAATGGTTGTGGACGGAATGGAAGAAAGTTTCGCTTAACAGGTTTCCGTGTCTAGTAGCAGGGGATCACCAGATCCTCTAGGCAGGAACCTAGGTATGTTAACAACAAAAGCGGGAAAAAAATAGTAAATCACAGTGTGATACTATCCTTAGGCCTTAAGAATAGATCAAGTTGCCTCTTAAAGGACTCCTGGGAAGTCACTTGAACTAGCTCGACCGGCAGAAAATTTCAGCATTTGACAACTCATAAGGAGTAGAAGTTGTGTCTACAGTCCGTTCTGCTATGTTGTGTCTCCAGTTTTGGGTGTTACCTCTAAGGTTAGTGTTGGAACTAAGCTTAAGTGGGTGTTTGAGTGGATGTCCAGAAATGTTAAGGATACTATAGGCCATCAGAAGGTCACCTCTAAGACGTCTATACTCTAATGGGTAAAGGTCCAGTGAATGGAGGTGCTCTTCGTAAGGTTTAAATTTGAGTCCTCGAACTGGTTTCGTGGCTCGCCGTTGGATACGCTCCAGGGTGTCCTTATCCTTTTGGAATGAGGGGGGAAATACTATGTTTCCGTACTCTAAATGGGGACGGATAAAACTGTTGAAGATTGCGTGAAAAGTTCTTCCGTCAAACTGGCCAAAAATGCGCTTTAATGTTACCAGTGCAGGGTTTGCTCGGAAGGCATTTTGTCAGTTAGCATAAGACTTTAAATCGTAGGGCACTAGGGCTCCTAAATCTTTTTCGACCTGGGATACTACTAGAGAGAAGTTTCCTAAGTGGTAACTGTAGTTTGCAACATGTCGCATATGGCCTAATTTACACTCTGAAGTATTTAAGGTAAGTCCGTTATCGTCTGCTCTACTTTGAAGTCGAGTCAGATCCTCCTGAAGTGCCTGTATATCGTCTTGGTTGCGTATCTCCAAAGTTTCACGACGTCGGCAAAAAGTAATAAGTCTGACGTTACCTGTTGAGGAAGATCATTTATGTAGATCAAGAAGAGAAGAGGCCCTAGTACTGAGCCCTGAGGGACCCCACTGTGACACTCCATAGCCTGAGATAAAGTGAAATTAACCCTGACCTTAAAATGTCGATTTTTCAGGTATGAAGTGAGCCAATCGATTAGAGGTGGTCTGATACCCAATCGTTTGAGCTTGTTGATAAGACATGTATTGTTAACCTTATCAAAAGCCTTTGAGAATTCTAGGTAGATGATATCAACCTTCCCCTTGTGATCAAAGATGCTTGTCCATCTCTCCGCCTTAGTCAGCAGGGTGGTAAAACAAGAGTAACCCTTCCTGAAACCATGCTGTTGGGGTGAGAAGAAATTTAAGGACAGCAAATAGTCATTTATACCATCGCATATCAAGGACTTCATGATTTTTGAGGGTATGGAGAGATGAGCCACCGGTCGGTAACTTGAAGATTCGCTGCGTCGACCTCCTTTGAAAATTGGTTTGACGTGAGCCAGCTTCCAATTTTCCGGTAGTTTTCCTCGACTTAGCGAGTGTGAGAACATCACGCTAAGCGGCGTTGCCAAGATTGAGGCTGCTTCCCTCAGTATTACGGAATGGACCATGTCCGGGCCAGGAGAAGTGTCTAATCTTAAGTGCTGCAGTTTCCGGAACACCAAGTCAGCGCTTAGGTCCACTTCGGAAAGTCCTGTGGAATTGCAAATGAAACTGTCATCAGTAAAGTTGATGTCGGTCGGTTGAAATGTCTGGGAGTAATGTTCAGCCAGAAGGTTAGCGGCGTCGCCATCGTTTTTGGTCGGGCCGTTAAGACCTACCAGTTGGGAAACTCCAGTTTTGGCTTGACGAAGAGAGGCTGCATAACGGAATAAGCTTTTAGGATTAGAGGCGAATTTGTCCATAAGCTTTGTCTGGTACTGAAGCCTATCTTCTCTTATAGCCTTCGTGCATATGTTCGTTATACGTTTATATTGCCTGTACGCTCCGTCGTTATCAGTTCGTTTGTATTCCGCCCAACAGTGCCCTTTGCGGCTTAGCAGGCGAAGGGTACGGTTCTTGATTACTGTAGGTGGCTTGCAGCTTTTGGGAACCGTTTGAGGAACTGAATGGTTTGTAGCATGTAAGAGCGTGTGCAGTAAGAAGTCCCAATGACCGTCCACATCGAGTTGGGGTGAACATCCCAAACCACCTGTTGTAGATAGTCATGTAGAGCTGGCACATTCAACCGTTTAAAATTCCAACGCAAGTTATTGGTTGGATATCTTAGCTTAGTTTTGCTGACAAAACTGAAGGCTATGACGGCATGATCGCTTTTTCCCAAGGAGCCAGGATTGAGAGGTTGTCAACTAGAAATTCTTCGTTTGTGAATACACAGTCTAAGCGCGATGGTGTCTGACTGTTTCTCCAACGAGTTGCCGACCTCACATTTTCGTATAATCCCAAGTCATCGATGAGGTTGAAGAACCGAGCTTCAATTGAGTTGTCGCCCCCAGTATACGTGTGTTCCGCGAAGTTGACTCTAGGGAGATTAAAGTCCCCTAGAATCAGGATGTGTGTGAAACCGAGACGAGTAGAGCGGGATAGTCCTTCCAGCATACGACTATCGTACTCGATGTCGGCAGTTGGCTTCCTGTAAATGACTCCGACTAGACACCTCGAAGTACTTGACAATCTTACAGAGCACCACATAGATTCCTCAAGATTGTTAAACTCGAGGTTATGAACTTGATGCACCTCCAAGCAAGAACGTATGTAAACAGCTACTCCGCCCCATATCCTGATTTTCTGTCATTGCGGAACAAAGACATCCCAGGTAATGCTAACTCATGGTCCGAGAACTGAGAAGATATCCAGGTTTCAGATATTCCTATCAGATGGGCCTTATTAGCATTGCTAAGTTCACGTAGTTCATCCAATTTGTTTAGTAGACTCGCGGCGTTCATATATAAGCAGTTTATGCTTTCAATTTGGAACGCGTGAGCTTCTTCCTGTTTGTCTGTATGAGCCTTACGTGAATGGACAGGTAGCCCACCCATATGAGGTTTGCCGAGGTGGTAGGCCCTGTCATTTACACGTTTTTATATCGTCTAGACAGGTTACAAGTGGAATGGTCAGCTCCAACTTGCCTTTGTGTTTGGTCATGCTTCGAGTGGCCTATCAGGGTGCATGTGGATTCCAGGTGGCAGTCGACGTCTGTTGGCACGAAATGCTTCCAGAGTTGCAGCCGCCATATGTGAAGATGGGAAGGTTATCTTCATTAGACAGGGTCTAGTATCACCATCCTTCTTGGCTAGTTTCGTCACATGCTGAGTCAGTATGTGTTTGAGCCTCAAGGACTGTTTGATGAATTTCCATTGCCTGATGTCAGTTTTTGATTGAGTAGGGTCCGTATTTTACGGTATACCTTGCACGATTATATTCCTCCCGCGGAAAAACTGATCGCGAGATTCTTTGGGAGTGTTTCGAATGAGATCGCCCTCAGAATACGGTATGTCAGGCAGTATTCTTACATTCCCATCTGATTTCAGTAAATGACTCGCTAGTAAAACATCCTCTATGTCGGTAGCATTCTTAAGTGTTGAGCGAAGTAGCCTCGGGTGATTTTGATGCTTAAATTCATTTCCCGTGTGAGCCGTGTGACTGTCAAAGGCTCTATTCTTGGAAGTTCAAGTTCCTTGTTCAATTCTCCCCAGAGCATCCTATCATTTTTGTCCTGTAAACTGAGAGGAAGGTCAGGGTTTTTTGAAGTTCATGACTATGAGAGAGTCATCATGAACCGTTATTGTCGTTCCAGGTTTCCCGGTGCGTTCAGGTTTAGCACCTTGTTGTTTGGGGGTCGAAGCACGCTTATGAATCATTGGCTCTTTGATGACTGGACGGACATTCTTGGGTGTAGACTGTGCGACCAGATCACCAGATGACTTCCGTTCAACAGCTGGGATGTTTAACTTAGACTGTGACGCCTGGTCCTTTTTAGCTCTTTTGACATGTGTCCAATCACCTACAGAGTTTTTGGGAACCACTGCCGCGTTCAAGGACCTTGAGCTGTGAGACCCGAGTTTGCTGAGGGAGTCGAGTACCGTCGTCGTAATCATGGTGCTGAGTTTCAGCGTGTCATCATTAATGCTGTTGCATGTTCCGTCGTTGGTAGACCTGTCGACATCCCTGTTCTCGTTTTCAATGCGCTCTCTTGTTTGTCTACCCATTTTTTGACTATCTTTTCTCAAGTTTGCCGACAACTTGCTCTGCAGACCTGTCAGTAAGACAATGATATTACTCAGCAAGACTACAGCATCCGTGCTGCACGTAACACATTCCCACTTATGATCCGACTTGTTGAGTCTGTTGTAAGCAGTTGCTGTGAGATCTGTGCACGCTTCGTGGGACCAACCTTTGCAGTCGTCACACTGCGTGCCAGACGTAACAGCAAAACGGCATCCAGGTCGTTTGCATGAATTTTTCATGACTGTATTGATGTAAAATGTGTTGTAGATGCCAACAAAAGCCCAAGACCGTAGAAAATACACTAAAAAGCACAATGAAAACAGACAAAAATGGATAAAACGGATGAGATAAACTGAACTAGTTTTTACGTGAAAAACTAAAAAAAACCGAATAGTAAGCTGCGGCAAAATCACAGTTAACTATTAAATTGAATGAAACTCAAAAAAAGTAATCTACCGAACGTATAGCTCACGATAGATTCTTTTGGTCAGAAATGGTACTTTTGTTGCGTAAGAACACAGCAAGTTTGATAAATACAAATCACGTTAAGACTAAACTTCCTGTTCGA